TATTTTCATCTTGTTAAAATCTATGGGTATCAGGTCTGCATAAATATTTCTTCTGCACAACCTTGTCAACGGCCTTGCTCTTGGGATGATGAAGCAAATGGGTATTTCTAGGACTGCTACTTTTGATGTTAGTGTCCCAATTTGTGTTTTCATTCGTGAAACCTATCCGTTTTCAGTAATCACAGTCACGCCTTCTGTCAATCTTATCATCATAAACAGACCCGATAACTATATCTCGCCGGATAATGACCGAGGATCTGCACCGAAGAGGAAATGGTTCTTTGAACCCTTTTCTCCTTGTCTTTACAAATGATATTAAGGCAATCATTGGGGACCACGAGCTATTAGTTTGACTCGAGTGAAGCAAGGCTTCTTGACAGTCACTGGGGCGTTTGCCCATACTTCCCAACAAATATTCAATGCAGTATTTCTCTACTTCGTGTCACGTCAAACGTCTCATACATTTTCTGCATAGTTGCAGATTACATAGACGCATTCCAACAGCCATATCTAAAAGCTATAGTATCTGGCTTCCGGATATACCCGAATAGTTAGAGCCACATGATACTCTCGACGATTAATTATACTCCTGAGTCAGCTTCGGATTACTTCTTTAAGGCTCGCAATCGTTGCCAATATAACTTTTCCTTGAGCTCCTTCTTGTCTAGTTCGATCAAGCGTTGACTTGAATTCAATATCTCGAGGCGTAGTATGCTAGATAATGCATCTATTTCTTCATATGGTTGTTGAGAGCATTTTTATGTAGCTAAATGATGTTGTGGAGGATCATTCGTGGCCTTGCTTTTCAATAATACTCTCTTCCAAGTGTATATGGAAAGCCCCACTAGTATCGTTCTATTGAGGAGCGTGAGGCAAAGCCGTGATCTTCTGCGGGATGTTGACGACAAGGCGAGTAGTATACTTAACTGGCATATTCCATTGCATTGAAAAGGCATGCTCTCTGACACACATTGGCCAGCTATGCTTGTCTTAGCAAGACTGATAACACACGATGTACATTATTGATACATCGATGGCGATATTGGGCACTCACTAACTGATGGGTGATGCAATATTATTGTCTATAACATGATGTCAGCTGCATGCAGCAACCCTCTGAGGCCATTCTCGTCATCCTACCGAGACCGAGGAAACAGATTGTGTTGGCACAGAGGGCACAGATTGATGCGTATGCACAAGCGGCTCGTTGAAAATATCTTTGATGCTGTATCTCATCTCTAGAGTCTACAGTCATACCTCGAGAAGGGTCGGCTAATGATTAGCCAGTCATTTTCCGATTTGACCGTCTCTCACTAATTTAGTGTCGCCACGACACACCTATCTATACACATTTAATTTAATCTACAGCAGCTACTGATGTATCTGTGGGTTTTACATACCCTGATAAGCCGGTCCATATCAAGTTTCTTTTATGGTATCTCTTTCAGCGCTGTTGCCAAAATCAATAGTGATCATCCGAGCTAAGGGGTCGATTGTTGTCGAATACTTCCCTGGGCCCCCAATCAGTGGACACGTTATAGATATAATATACCCATTATGAAAGAGATCAAAAATCTCGTTGCACTTTGGCCTACTTCAACTCTCACAAATCATCTATGGCTTCAAGTGATATTTCAAAATATGCAACGGTCTCATGGAACACATGTGATTAGTAGCTGCACATGCCAATGCAAGGTACAATACAAGATCTTCTTTAAGATCTTCCCTATGATCAGCGCAACAAACTCAAAATACGAAACTCCAGATAGGAGAAATCCAAGCTTTGCATTGCATTGCACAACTCATAATGAGAATCAGTCACCACATAGCAAAATAAGACAAGAGGCCCAATATCTAAAAATATACCTGACGTACTCTACATCAAGATTCACGTACTTTTGTTTTTCATTCCAAGTCGTGTAATATGTTCTTGCCAACGAACGATGCCGTCCATTCATGACAAGATAAGACAAGACAAGACAATATAGATAATAATCGTACGATGATAGCTTCGAAGAACCCGACGCCCGGGATACATTTCCGGGGATCGGGATCGATGTTAGGATTGAGATAGAAATAGAAATGATATTGATGGATCTATGAATTAAGATAGACGTTTATGTGAGAGACACGGCATTCCAATGCCAGGTATATGGAATTTCTAGGGCTGTTTTATGAATTTTTATGTATACATGATATATGTAAATATGCAAATCCACTCACAATCAACCAAAAAGTATATATATATACACATGATATGATATGATATTAAAATATCCACCACCTACTTTTACTCCGCCACCATATCCACCCCAGTTCCGGATCTGATGCGCAGATGATCATTCCACACTTCTAGAACAAAATCTAGACTAAGACTTTGTCCAAGACCTAAAGCTAAACTAAGACCAAGGAAAGAAGGAAAGAACAAAAGAGAGAGGGTGTAGGGACCCAGTTTGATAACTAAACTATGAACTTATGTCTCCGAGTGTTCCGTATGTATGTAATAGCCTAGTATGGGTATCCATCGAAACTGAATCGAACCCATAATTGAACCTCATCCATGTATCTCGGTACCAAAGATTCATCTAGACTCCCGGTGAACCCCACTTCTATTGTGGATGGAGTGGGTGTTGTGTAACGGTGTCTGTCTTAGGTGTATAGTATGGTATGGTATGGTATGGTATGAACAAACTGGATTACGATGGTATGGTACTGTTTTGTACCGGTATTGTTGATGGGATTGGGATTGGGATATTGGGCGGGTGGATCAGATAGATGAGACGTCGTGGGGGCGCGGGATGAGAAGTTTGCAATTTTGGAACCTCGGGAATTGGGGATCAGGGGGAGATGGTTTGTGGCTTGTGGTTTGTTTGATTGTTGATGTTGGTTTGAGGATGAAGTATGTAGTATGTAACAGAGAATTTACAATCATGGAACCGTAGTTGATTATGGGTGAAAGTTGCTATTCTGGATGAAAGGGATTTGGTTCGGGGATGTTTGTAGTTGCGACTTGTTAGTTGGGGGATTGGATTTGAGGAGGGAGGAAAGGGAAGGGAAGGGAAGGGAAGGGAAGGGAAGGGAAGGGTGAGGGGGACCTTGTTATCAGGATCAGGATGATTGATTGTTCGCTTTGGAGGGCAGATGAAGAAAGGAAGGAAGATCTTGGGTGGGAGATGGAGAGGAATGTGATTAGATATATGAATTAGATGGTATACTGTATGAGCAGCCATGATCAGAGGCGATAGATCAAAGAGAATTGCGAAACGGAGAAGTCAGAGGGAAACTGCAAACTAGAGAAGAGGAGATTCACCAAGGAAGTAAGATCTTACATACCGACCACTACTCTTATTTCACTCCGCCAACTATCTTTTCTTCAAAAGAATAGTGCTCATAGATTTATCTCTACATAGATAGATATTCTACTCCAAGTGTATTTAGAATTTAAGTTCGAATCCGTATACGTATCAATCAATATCCTCGTAGCCATTGCCACTCGGTCCAATCCACAAAGTACATCCATACACTTAAGCATTTCCATCCCATCCCCAACGGCGATCATCACATATACAAAATATGGTAAACATACAAGCAAATGATCAGTGTCTGGATGTGAGATAGGATAGAAGTCCCAACATTTACGCTTGGAGACCATCGATTGCACTCGTTGTTGGCCCTGAAATCGATAGTATCTATCAGCAGCAAGCACTTCAACAAAACCTCACCAATCTCTCCAATTTCTGAAATGCAACCTTCATCCATTTTGTAACCTCATCTTGACTTGAACATCCAAAATCATTATCCAACTAACTCTCAAAATTCGAGTCACCCTATCCCATCCCATCCTACCAACTACCCATCCAAACTCCTATTCTAATCCGATACTTATAAGTTCTACTTCAAGTGCCGACTCCTGAGTCCTGATTATCCAAGGAACCTCCAAAAGTCCAAGCAGTAACCCTAAGCTAAGTCTCATCCATAATCCATACCTAATTTCCGAACAAAATCATCTGGAAGGAACAACACACCTTAAAACAATCAAGCAATACTATATTGTCACTTCGGAATACAGTTTTCAGATAGCAAGTTTGACTCTCGAATTTCCCTTTTCAGTAGTATAAATTCGTTCATCAGGTAAGATGTCGAGATATTGCAATACTCTCTCTCGTCTTGATCCATTAGATCTTGATTGTGCAGCCATTTACTCCCATCGCTACCACAATATGTGCACTATACATCCACATCATTGAGTTGATTCCACTTCCCACTTCCACTTCCACATGTCGTACGATACGATACGATTACAACAGACAGTACAGTGCCCAGAAGACAATAATCCCCCACGCAGTCAAGAGAATAATTCTGTATCCCTTCAAATGATGGACTATCATTATATCCACTACCACGCCAGCACAGAAATCTGTTTCCATCAATAGAGCAACTACTCAATACTCCCCAATCCCACCCTCAAAGAGCATCGATCATATAAATAAAATATTCACTTACAATCCTCATAAGGGTAAATCTTCATACACACTATTATTGTATTGCTTACCATCTACTGTATCTCTATGCTACCTAATACTATGCAATATTTTCTGCTTAACTTGAGGTACTCACTAATGGCCGATTGATATCAAATCGTCCCATACAATCACAATACCCCCTGCCATTGTATTTTCTTGCCGCGCACTGATATATCACTCATATCCTTCACCTTTTAGTGCCTTCAACACCCCATTTCGTACTCTCAGCCCAGACCAAGATAAGCGAATAGGTTGACTCATAGGAGAAGAAGATGTGAATAATTTGTCCCTTTCGCAGCTTGGACTGAGAACATAGTTTACGCGATATTCCAGTAATCCAATCGAGTAGAAGGAATAAAAGAAACCCCCATCCATGCTACATGACCCACGCTCTCCGAAAGTGATCATTGAAAGTAAACCCCTAACCATCCGATAAATTATGCCTCGTGGTACGATATTACTATCATAGTGTATGCCTTATGCAAAGTAAGACTTCCAGAGCACGCCTTCTAGATCTTCTAATTGCTCGGGTGTGAAATACTATTGCGAAAGATTAGTTGCATGGTCTTGTGTGAAGAGGGTGCATAAATATAGATGATTAAAGGAGCGACAAGAAACATACCTTTTGATCTGTAACCCAAGTATCCTGTCGTGTCTTCTTGAAATCGGCCAAAACACTCTTGACAGTCTTTCCAATTGCACCAGCATCATTTGCAGCTCTGCTTGCTAATGTAGCCAAGACCTCGGGCATCCATTCGGGCGGTGGTGTTGCATATGGGAATGCATTTACAAGGGCGCCGAGTCCGAGAACAGCCGCATGTCTTCTAATGATCTGAGCATTTGAGTTTACTGGTGTGCTTACACCTGGCAGTTTCTTGGGCATGGGATTTTTCTTGAGAGCTTGTGTAAATTTGATGCGCAGGGAGGAAAGGATATTGTTACGAAGAATGATGGGCGAACATCGAATCATGCCAGCAAGGGTGGTTGATGCGCCGAGACGGACTTCGAGTTGTGGATCTTCAAGCATTTCGGCGACGGCGGAGAAAATGGCTTGCTGTTCGGTGGGACGGATGAGAAATATGCGGCGGAAATAGATTACTTGCATATTGATCAAGGTTCGTAAGCGTTGATGCCATGATGTGGAGACCTTGCCGATACGAATGAGGGCCGAGATGAATTTGCCGTCTTCACCAGCACGGAAGGGGATATTGGGAAGGTGGCGATAGACGTGATAGGCGAGACGCTGAAGTTCTTGATCCTCTTTGACATCCATCATGTGTAGTAATTGTTCCATAAACACATCCGGAAAAAAGTCAATGAGTTGGGTACACTCGTAAGATTGTAAAGTAGCATCGAGCCATATCAACACAGTCTTGCTACCATTAGTGTACGATGTTGGAGATTGCTCACCCGGAGGTCGTTGACCACGCCAGACTTCTAGTCGATCGAAGACTTCCTTGATGGTTGAAGAGAAATCCGCGGTAGGTATGTAAGGCTTTATACCAATAGAAGATGCCATCTTGTTCGCCTCAAGAAGGGTGTCTACATCCTTGAACGCCTCGTAGTACCTCATACGATAGATAGTAGCGATCGCACGGCCAATTGCTTCTCTCACAGCTTTGTATGGGTGGTCGATGTGGTCAAGAAAATCTCGTAGAATGGGCTCGTCATTACGGAAATGCCATCCAGCATCAGAGATAGCAATATTCAAGAGTTGAATCTTGGAACTATCTTTAAAAGCTGCGTTTGAGGTGATATCCAATCGGAATGAGACGAGAAAATCAAAAAGCTCTCTCGAAGACCTTGGATCTCTTCCATCAATAACCATATGCAGACCAGTGACCCAGTATGTCAAGTTTTCTGGGTTTAATCCTTCGGAAAAGACGTTCAGCATAATGGGCAGGCAGAATTGCCAAATCTCATCACGTTTCTCAGTCGGGAAGTCAGTTGTAGAAAGCATAAGACCAGCTACGATCTCGGCCGTTGCACGATGCTGATGTTTGTCACTACCATCTTCCAAAACATTTTTGACCTCTTTCTTGATATCATCAAAAGTAGCTGATGTAAGTCCGGAATGCATCAACTCAAAAGTTTGAACGAGTAAGGTTGTGTTTTGTATTCGGAATCGATCTTCAGAGGTGTCTCTTGGTTCTTGCTTCATGTACATGAAGAACTTTTGATACCAGTCCAATGTCAAGAAAGAACCGATGTGCTTTCTTCTTGAAGTTTCTAGTTCATCGAAGTCCGTGAATTCGATAGGATTTGCTCGCATGGCATTAAAGCTCTTGCCCCACACAAGCCATCCAGGCCAATCGCGATCCAGGTGATATTCTGGTTGTCCAGGTTCCGCGAACGAGTCCAAGAATTTCTTTGTCCATTTAGGATCCTCGCTATCTACGGAAATCTCGAGCTTATTGGGTTGAAACTCCTCTTCACGAAGATACTTCTCGAAGCTGTGGCCATAGATAGCACGAGTTTCAATATGGGTCATAATGCGAGTCATGACTGCAGTATAGCCAGCTCGAAGTCCAGGATGTTCAGTGACGGCATTTAGTGTAGCGAGCTCAATCGTAGAATACGGCGCGAGTGTTTGTACTCGAACACCCAAATTAGCGATGAACAAAGTGCATCGTAGGGCAATACTCCAATGTGCTGTTCGGGCGAATTCAGTAAGCTCCACTGCCAGTCTCTCCTTTTTATCTTCCACCTTCACACGTCGCCCGATAATGAAGTCATTTCTGGTCTTGATGATGAAGTGACAGTCTTCCTTTGGTTTTATTTCTTTAATGAGCGCTTGGTCAAGAATAACGTGAGTCTCCATTCTCCTGCCGAATTCAATCAATCCTCCGTACAAGGCAGTACTATTTAACTTCTGGATAGAGGGCTTATCCACAGATGCAGACTTGATATAGAGATCAATCAGCTCCGGTGCAAATCGCCAATCTTTCGAGATTGTCTTCGTAAGGCTACCGAAGAGTAAAGTATAGAGACAACCTTTGATGCGGTCGAAGTCATTTATTTCTAAAGCCTTCCTGAAAGCACTCAGTAGGGAGGGAATAACTAGAGGCCGACCGCCAACCACGCTCTTCAAAGCAGATTCCATAGCTTGCTGGGCCATAAGTCGAACTTCGGCGTATTGGGAAATTGCTGATGATGCTAGATTCAAGAGAAGTTGCTTATCTAGTTCCGACTTTTGTCGTGCCGATGCATTGTGCTTGGATCGCTGCAGGTGATAATTTCCAGCACGCTTTATTAGCAGAGGTCTTGGATATGCCTTTCTGAGTCCCGTGACTTTGAAAGATCGAATCTCGGAGTGGTAAATTTTGCTCATTCGCTCTAAAGTATGAGCAGATTTCTCATTGCCGACATCTGTGATCCACGATTTGTAAGCCAGATAAAGTGCGGTAAAACAAGGAACGTCGTCCTCTTGGTGTCGTTCCAAAAAGTCGTGCATTTTGCAATACAAGTGGCCAACATCTTCGCGAAGTTTGTGTAGACGGATGTAGGCTGGGCCATTCTTCTCCAAAAGGTATCCCGCACGATAATGAAATTGAGGTCTGGTTTCCTCATCCTCGGAAGCCTCCGCTAAAGGATCATCGTCTCCATCCATGGGGTTGTCTCTATTCATAACGATATCTCCATTTGAACCATGCTCGGTATCATGGTTTCCAGAAGCTGCTTTGGGGTCGAACAGAACAGAAATACCGGACATCATCAACCGAATATGTGTAAGAGCCCTTTCAACCTCGTCTGACCACTCTTTGTTCTTCCCCTTTCGAGAAACGGCGGGAGCTTCACTAGTGAGGTTAGAAAGTTTCTCGATTGAAGTCTTTACTTGAGACTCAAATATTTCAACGGCGAAATCGATCTCTTCGGGAGAAGGCACATGCCACTTTATCGTTAATTCTGATGGCTTAGTGTTGCGACCCCAATCGTCAACATCAACGCCTCTCTCAAAAACATCTGGTTCATATAGGGCTGTGTCAATAGGGTATATTGTGGTGAGGTTGAGTAGGAGGTGGTGAATAAAATTAGAGACATGCATTGTGGGGAGACCGTGACACTTTTCTTGCATGTAAAGAGCTATATCAAAAAGTTCTTTCTTATATGGCATGACTGCATCTCCAACATGAACGGCAATCATGCTAAGCATACTCACATGCCAAACTAAAGCTCGGTCGCGAGGCAAGACATCAGATCCACTATTCCTGTCGGTCGCAGCATCATTGTAGTCGATCTCATTTCTAATACCAATGACAAGCATTGGCAGAAGTAATTTTATTGTCCTCTCCGGATTAGCCTTGCAAATTGAATTGCATATAAACGCCATTGCATCCCTAGCCTGGTGGACAACATGGCTATTGATAAAAGCTGCAATCTTCTCCAAAGCCATATCGAAGAGGTCAGGCGATAAAGAACAAAACAATGGAGTAAGGGCGCCAGGTAGAACGCCGACCACGTTTTCTTCCGGAGCTCCAGTATGTATCCTGGACTGTTCAGGTAAATTCTCCAACAAAATGAATATCTTCCCAAGCAAAGCTAAGACGAATTCGCCAAAGCCCGCGGTAGAAGATCGTAGTACATTGGTTTCATCCTCATCACTAAGCTCCGTATCATAGTCGATCTCCACGTTTGGGCCATCCCGTTCCAGTCGTTCCATCTCACCTTGTACCCACCGAATGGCAAGAGATGTGTCATGGATACCATCGTGGTTGTTCGTAAGATCCGTAAATGGTATACTATACGCCACAGCCTGTATGAAGTTCAGAGTGTATTGGGTTTTGGATAAATCGTTCGCATCGATACCAGGTAAAGCTAGAGCTAGCAACGCTGTAATGTGGCAACGGTAGCCCTTATGTTTTGACATGACATTGGCGAGCATTTGAAGACTGATAAGGGACGAAGAAGTTCGATGGACTTCAACCAAACCTTGAAGAGAAGGGTAAAAACGCTGCAATGCTCCCGGTAAAATCAAATTTGGTTCTAGATTTGCTAGACCTTGAAGTGCAACAAAATATGCATTGAGAATTTTGGTTCTTTTAGAAAAAATACCCATAAAAACCACATCTTTCAGGATAAGGACAAATCTTTTCTTTAACTCGGGAGTGATGCGTCGCTCGGGAGGTGTGTCCATTTCACCACTCTGTTCCCGATTCCAGCGTAACAGGAAGAAATCGACAAGATGGAAAACAGTTTGCGATAACACATCTGCCCAATTTCCATTATTCGATGGATGGAAGAAGGTATCGATAGACTGTATCAACCCCTCGAGATTTGACAAAATTGAGCTTTGGCTGTTGAGAGTTAATGGCGAAAGAGACATAACTATCCATCGTGCAATCGTATATCCCACCGGTGTTCGCTTTTTGTCAGTCTCGAGATATACGCCAACGCCGGCAAACATGTCAACCATTGGGCTATATGGGGTGGTTGCTTGCCCAACAGGTATCTCAGTCAATCTTAAGATTGCCGTAAATATAAGATCCGACTGTTCCTTTGTAAATATACCATGTTCGTGGAACCCGACGTGTTCGTTAGTCATGGAATCTCGGGCAAGTCTCGAAAACATGTCTAAGAATGTTACATCGAAGACCTTAGAGCGGTTGACAAGTGACCAAAGATGGAAGAGTGTAGGCAGATAATCTTGGGGTTGCTGAAGTAAGCCCGGTTCATTTGGTAATGGCTGAGTTGGCATCATCATATTCAGAGCTCCAAGGGAAATGAATGCATATGAACAATCTGAGGTGCTAAAGTATGGTAAAATCTCCTCGAACATGGCTTTTCTTTCCCGGGGATCAAAGAACTGCGAGGCATAAGCTGCGAGGCTCGAAACATTCTTGTGACTTCGCTTTCGACTACCTTGATGCGCCGCAATTTCGTGAGGAAGAACGAGGCCTTTGATTTCTCTCCAAAGTGGTTGCCAATCAAGTACAAGATCAGCTCCGGGTTTGAGATGATGCTTTTTCCTAGTTGACCATTAGCTGTGCACAATAACGAGGTGAGTTTAACCTACCTTGTCAAAAGAAAACGAAACATGCTCTCGAATCGTTCTCCATTGCTTAGATCTAAACCTGGGGCTAATGAAAGCATGTAATACAGCTTTACAAGCTTCACACGCAGCGCCCGAGTAATGTCGAATTTCAGACTCAGCCATGCTCTAAGCTCTCTTGTCCAATGTACGGCACCAGGTGCAATATCTTCCGCCTTGAGAGCGATATAAAGCTGTTTGATAATTTCTGCCAGCGCCACATTGCGTTCAGTCTCCTCCTCGACTTTGTATGGTAATAATTTGAAGTAGGGAAATGTTCTTGGTCTGTATCGTTTCTCCCTGTCGGTATCAATTCCGTTGGCCCCAAATTCAAGACCTGGTGAAGTTGCACGCGATATTGTATCGCTCGAACTTCCTTGGAGCATACTTTGGAGATATAGCGCCTGGGTATCGCCATTCGTGAATCCTTCGTCCATCTTGCAAATAGTTGTACTTGATATTGATGGTTGAGCTTGAAAGTTTGGGTATAAGAGCAGACTTTATTGACTAGTTATTGTCAGTAATTGTGTCAATGACCCACAGGCAATAGCATCGCACAAGTAAGTACCTGTGTGAATTACAAAGCTTAGATGATGGCAGGGTGATGGGAAGGCGATCTTTATCACACGCACAATTGGGCCAACTTCAAATAAAACCGAAAGCCACAGTTCCGAAGTTCCTCACACTTACCCAGAAGAAAATAATGGGCAACAAAGAAACGCTGTCTTCATCAAATAGGTGGTAATTGATGGAGAGGGGCAAAAGTTGGATTTGGAAGAGTGTCTCACAGCATAGAGGTTTTGATATCTATGATGTTAGACAGCAACAGCCTTGTGCCTCGAGATGAGATCCGTGCTGTAACAAGGAGCTAGTAGACAGGGATTAACAAAGTAGTGAATGATATGATTAGGTAGGTAAGTATTGTTAAAGCTCCAAAAAAGTTAATTGATATTCATCATTAGAGTTCTGGAATGTAAATCTAGATGTTGATATAGAACCCAAATTTATATTAACTCCAACAAAGAGAGGAATATATTTAAATAGGAAATCAATCTTTAAAGGGAATTCATTGAAGCGAATGTCACATTATTAATACAAAAGGGAATTCTTTCATTTAGGCTTTTTTCGTATTGATTTATAGCAAGCCTACGTGATCATTACTGCCTTGAAGGAATCTAAAAGCAGACAAGCTGACTAACATCAGGTAATAAATAGTATTGTGAAAGAGAAACGTGCCGTTCCTCATTTGTTTTCGAAGACTACTCGAGTAATAGAGCCTATGTATGTACTTTAATGTATGCTATAATACAAGTGATAACACGGAATATTATATTGTATTCCTAAGCAAAACAAATATGCCATAGTGATGATATCTTCCAACGCCAAGCCAGACAGACATCCAAGTACCCCCCTCATATTCCAAAATTTATTTATACCTAAACCCATGCCTTTTATGATGATAGCGCCAAAAGTAATGCTAACCAGAAGTATTGATACAGACGTGTTGCCATTGAACACTATGGCGAAGAAGGAGAAGAAGAACGAGAAGAAGAACGACAGCGAATAAGATTTATGAATGACCTCCATCGGCTAATCTTTTGCTTTATTGGAGGTTTGCCCTGTATATCCTCGCTTTGACCATCCATTATCCCGCTGCCTGTGCTCGAAAACATGTGAGCAGACTTTACCCTTCGATGAGGTTTGGTAGGTGTAGAAGGAGATGATGTAACGATGCCCAGCACAGGAGGACAAGAAACACGGTTCGAGGCGGCATTTCTGTGGATCTTAACATTCTGACCTTCGCCATTCTCAGGCTGTTGGGCTATGCTCTCTCCTTCGCTGTCGCTCGCAATCGTATTTATCTTGCGACTGGCTGCCCTTTGCATAAATGCGGTACCGGTCGAGGTAGCTCTGGCCCGTCTTGGAGATGCAATCGAATCATGTGGCGAAGACGTGGCGACGGAATTAGCTTTTGTAATATTGCATCGAAGAATTTTGTCACCAATAGATCCAAATGTGGATTCTGGTGTGCTTGAACGAGTGCAAGTATGAACATTAAGGACAGGCGTGGGCCGCATTAGATCTGGTGTTAGTGAGGATGCTCTGGTCCTCCCACTCGTAGAATTCCTTGGACTTTTGTTTTGGCCAAATGTAGCCATAGCGTCGTTGTATTTAAAATAGGGAGACCAGCCTTGACGTAGGGAAACCCATATTCCCGTGATTTGAATTAATGTCCTCATGGTCTCGTCCAAGAGTTGAGGAATTCGTTCAATGATTGTGTCCGTCTCGCCATCCTCATCGTCAAACTCGCCAGGTTCACCACTCACTGGCGGCTTTGTGGGTTCTACCCCGGGCGAAAGAGGTACATAAGAATCTGGAATGTCCAATTTTGTTTGAGTAACAGTTGCCAGAACCGCATGTCGGCGAGAATTTGGGTCTATTATACTGAAGCTGAATTTGGCATCGTTATTAGACGAATCGGAAAGATTGTGCTGGCCTGCTCTTTTCACCCATCGTACAGTGGTTACTTTCCCCCCGTATTCGTCAAGTTTGGTCATTTCGTAAGCTCCGGTAGGTAACGGGCTTGCTAACCACACAGAACCATCGCCTAAAACAATTTCGGCTTTTCCTTGTGAGCCTCCTTCATCTCTGGGCATTTGGCAAATAACTGCAATAAGATCTCTATTGGAGAAGCCCTCCTCATCCGAATCGGTATCATGCATGGAGTGATCCGGTATGTCATATTCTTCGCTCTTCACAATCATAATATCATTTGCTCCTAATTCACCCTTTCCTGTGAACATCCGAGGAAATCTTTTGGCTAATCTGGAAACGACGACAGTTGAAGGAAGAACATCCAATGTTGGTCTGGGCCTTTTATCAGACGACATTAACTGCAATTGCATCAGCAATTTCGGGCGAATATTTAATAATCGTTGCTTGTGTGTTAAGGTCGGAGCTGGGTGTGCTAGGCGAAATGCTGTGCTAGCTTTCGAGGACCTCCTGCGCCGTCTACCCCCATGCGTTGTCCGGCTTCCTTCGGAGTTTGCAACCGATCTGCCATCTTCACTCATTGTATCCGCTTCAGGTTCTTGGAATCGAACGGTATGCACCTGTTGATGTTCTAATTTGTGAGGTATATATTCCGGCAATGCTCTTGAGCGTCGAGTTAAAGCTGGTATTGGAGTTTCATAAGTTGTAGATACTTCTGTGCCAGGATTCAAAAAAGATGATCTATTCAAAGGTGATCTCCTAGGCATAAAATCGCTGCGCGGTCGAGCAGGAAGTGTAGAGTGCGAGTACTCATGGTTATGCATGCCGGCTGCTGAATGTAAAAGCATATTGCTGAGAAGGGACGTCCCAGCAAAGGGACGTCCTCGTGTGCGAAGGTATCTGCGACTGTGGAATTATTTGAGAAAGTCTGAAAAGCTTCGAAAGTTTGAGGACGCTGTTGTGGATTCGATATTCTCCGCATGCATGGAAGGAGCAAAACTCGTAGGGCTGACAGAAGAAGATCAGAAAGATATATATAATAATGAATGGAGCCAAGAAAGTGAAATTGACCCAACAGCGAGAAATAGACGATATTGATATTGCTTGTTTTCAAATTCGCACAGGTATAATAGCTTGCGGGATAGATTTTGGTATTTAAAAGAGCTTGTGGTCAGATGTTTGCTGGAGGCTCAAGATGGATGGGGTCGTACAACACAAGAGATATATTCACGCAGTCATCAGTATTTGATGCTGTCAGCAAATTCCGTACAGCGGCGTAAAAGTTGGGAGGATGTGATAGAAGAGAATCGGATAGGATTCAAGTAAATAAGCTGAATGTCAGCAATAACACAACGCGTTAGTATATATGTATATATGAGAAAGTTAGGGACTTGAATTGATAGCCAGAGAACCAGAGAAGTAAGTCGGGGGTTCAAATCCCTTGATTAAATAAACTACTACTTACTAGGTAGTTAGGATGAGGTGGAGTGAGTTCCAAACGGAAAAGACCGGGTTTGAAACTTTGAATGTACACATCCCTCCCATACACACACAGCATCACCCACCCTCTCCCCACAATTGCATAACAATTTTCAATTTTATAGGGAAATCTCATCCACAGATTTCACCCCGGAAGAAGGAAGGGTTCGTGGCAGAAAAAGAGGGTTGATTTAGGGAATTCTCGATTTGTTCGGATCGAGTCAAAAAACCCGAGATTCCTACTTGAGTGAAAACTTAAAGAAAGGGAAGATGGGACAACAATCAGCCGGCTGGCTACTCACGGACTTTTGGGAAATGTCTAGGTTTCCGATGCAGCCTTAGAAGTTAGAACTAAGTAGTTATCCTTATTAGTTCCTTTAGTTCATTTCAATGCCGTCGAGGTATATACCATACCGGTGGTATCTACAGGTCAATTAGGTCAATGTTTGCTTTCACTTTCATAATAACTCTTAATACAGTATAGTATGTCCTTAATGTATCAATTGAGATTTTTGAATCACTCACCCGGACAAGTTCCATAAACTTGCAAGGTGCGGAAATTCTTACATTTCCGTTCAGATGGTCGAATCTCTTGGCATCATCTCTATCTTCACCGCCCTCTAATCTTATCGTGATCCCTGTGAAGAACAAACGAGGAATACGGGTTCGAAGCTTTCTCTAAAGGGCTGAACCCGACTGCTGAACCCGACTGCCGAACCCGAAACCTCAATCTCAATATCACCACCACATATGGCTTCAACATATCTTCAGCCGCTTGAAACACCAGTTCGTACTATAATATTGTGTTTCACGCTTTGGAAGGTCTTGCTTCTACTCATTGCAGCTTGTAGTCCAGGTCCGGGCTATGATACATCTACCAGTCTCTTATTGTCGACTCTACATTCAGTTGGACAGAAGAAGTTACCATTGGTAGTGCAGTATCTCATCGGCAAATTGGTAAGATGGGATGCAATATACTTCGTACGCGTGTCAAATCGCGGGTATCTCTATGAACAAGAATGGGCATTTGGATGGGGCTTTACCCGCATGATTAAATTTAGCACTATGGGTGAGTACAAGTGCCAATTGCCTGTCTGATACGCGACGTTGACCAAGATAGGACTTGGATATCTTGGGATACCTCACTATGATGGAATGGAGGGGTTGGTGGGGATACTCCTTGCTCATAGCTCTCATCTACTTTCGATTCTCGTCCTCCACAGCTTGACCTTGACGCTCTTCCCCTCGAAGAGATTTGCGTTGGTCACAGCTCTTTTGCACGTCATATCACCAGCTGGCATATTTATGTCTGCTCCATATGCTGAGAGTTCTTGTGCTCTTTTGACCTTTTTGGGAGTATTCCTATTCACGAAAAGTTTCGGCTCTGGAGCGAACAACGCAACTTTAGGTCACGATCTTCTAGTCCTCCTTTCTGGCATAGTCTTCGGGGTTGCTACTACTTTCAGAAGTAATGCGTTGCTCAATGGACTCCTCCTGCTCGAGGAAGCGTTCAGAACTTTCATCAGTTTAGGTAATGGGTTCAAGATAACCACCATCCGTCGTCTCATCATCACTGGTTTGGGAGGCATATGTGTCGGAACCAGCTTCCTCCTACCACAGTATCTCGCATATCAAGAGTATTGTGGGGAAACAGCCCTCGAGAGTTCAAGACTTTGGTGTACAGATGCCATTCCAAGTATATATACTTTCGTGCAAGGCTACTACTGGTATGTTAATAGGGTTGGCTAAGATGAAGCATATCTAACATTTACCAGGAATGGTGGATTGTTCAACTATTGGACGTTGCCAAATATACCTCTGTTTCTACTTGCAATGCCTATGATCATAATCCTAGGAGTATCTAGTAACTGGGGTATACGGGATCCTCAGCTCCAACAAATCTCAGCTACCCCTAAGAAAGAAAGTATTACAACAGTCGATAAGATCCAGTATGCCCACAAAGTTCAGATAATCCGGAATTTAGCCCTCTCACAGTTGATTCTCACAGCAATTACGTTCACAAGCGGTCATGTTCAGATCATCACAAGGATATCATCAATCTGTCCTGTGTATTTATGGTATATGGCGGCTTCGGTTGGGAAAGAAAAAGATTCAACTATCACAAGTGTTGGAAGATTTATGATAATATATGCCGGTATTCAGGGTGGCTTGTTCTCATCATTCTTACCACCTGCATAAGATGGAAACAACAGTTGGGACTCTCAAAACTTTAGCATATTGTTGGTATTTGATTAGAATATATCGAATGAAGAAGTGTACTTATGCGCTCTCTTATTTTCCTTTTCCTTGGTTTGAAATAAAAATCAGAAAGTAAAAATACAATTTCAAAATCAACAATATTTTTAACGAATCATTAGGTGGTGAAGTAATACTGCTATTTAAGTAATACAGTAAGAGTAGTTGACCGCCTAAAAGGCATTTACAGTAATTAGCTAGCTTGGCCAACCTACTTCTACTAACTTTGGAAGTGTTCACACATTTTACAACTTCAATACTTCAGTATTCTGTCCAACTCCTCCTACTCCTACAATTATTTCATTCTTCTACTCTTTATTTTGCTTATCTTTCAGAAGATCTTAAATATAACAAAAACGATAGAAGACTTCTAAAGAGGCCTTTCTCACTCCACTCCACTCCACTCCGAAGTTCAAGAAATAATCATTATTATTATCTCCTTATGATTTTTGAAAGTACAATTACTACAAATATCTAAATTCGAGCCACACCACAATCATTTGTTGTGAATATTTGTTCACTCTTATCAGTCATTTAATACAATTTGGACACCAAGTTCCTGTGCGGAGGAATAGTTAAAAATATAATCTCAGATCTGGCAAAGTCATCGACCTTGGACACAACACATCACAACACAATACTCAACTTGAGAAATTCTTGTCACAGCCATGTGGCCAAGAAATAACGGATTCCAAAATAATGGACAATATCAACCAAACAATTTCAATCAAGATGATCTATCTGCAACTACACCACTACAGTCCCCTTTTGGAGGTGGCCCTGGCCCCAATTTCTTCCAGCAGCCAAATATGATGCAGCAGTATGAAGAGATGAATATTGATGGTTTTAATGCTTTCTCTCCTGAACTACCAATGTACAACCAGGCAGCTTTTGCACAAAATCAATTCATCACTCCCAATCCACCAGTAAGTGTTTGGGACAGATGTAGCTTCTACCTCTGACTTTGGAGAGCAAGCGCATACAGCTAACCTCTACTCATCTTCTCAGTTCTCACCTCAATTGAACTCAACTAATAATAGTGTGGCTCCTCCTACTCCTACTCCGACAAAAGAACAGCTTGCTGCCAAAACTGCCGAATTAAGAGCAAGATTGATGAAGGGAAAAGAAGGCAGAGCCATCTCAGCTACCCCACCAGCTGGTGCCGCGGCAAAACAAATAACTGCGATAGAGCCGTCGAGCTCATTGCAGCAATCCCCCAAAAGTCCTATTACAGGGACAAACATCGATGAACACTTGCGCCGTGAAAAAGAGATAAACGATCTCATTTCAGATTATTCCGAAACGAAGCCAATAACAAAGTCAAAAATGAATCAGGAGGCAGGAAATGGCACCGCCAAAAAACCGGTTCATGTCAACACATCCATTCTATCTGCGAAGTCCCAAGACCTTTTTTCGGGAAGCCCTACAAGAATAACCAAATCCCACGCCAACAGTGATCGGGCTAGTAATGGCACTCCAGCAGAGCGCGAAACTAGGAATATTAGGAATGGATCGATGTCAGAAGGGGAGATATTAGATGAGCCTACTCCTAAGAAGCTCCCGCCCACTGAGCCAAAAGCAAATCAGGTCAATAAAAAGTCGGCTAACGTTAATGAAAAGTCTCTTAAACCTGAAGATGGTCGAACAGCTCGGCCACCTCATATGCGTGTAAAGCTCGAAGAGCCTGGCCCTCTAGTTCGACGTCCAGCACCAGCACAGCCATCAAAACCTGATCCTCCTCGCTATCGAGAAGAACGAAGAGAAGAGAACGATTTTCGACCAGAGAGAAAATCCAACGTCGATCACAGACATGAAAAGAAGTCACAACATCAAGACGCCGACAAGAAACATCACCCACGCAGATTTTCTCGCGAAGAAAATGATGACTATCGCCGTCCTGAAGTTGCTAAGGAAGATGGCAAATCTGTTCGGGAGTCTAAGCCGCCAACACTGGCACAAATCTTACCACATGATGCCGATTTGAGGGAATGGTTGGAGATGTCTCAATATCACGATCTAACACATAGAAACAAGGTATTAAAAACCGCACGAGCTCTAAAGGAATTGGAGTCACAAAAAGCAAAACTTTTGGCAGGTATACAGGACAATCACAGTCTTGTGAAATATAACATGGGAAGCTTGACGACCGGCCTGATCATGCCTCCTCAGAACGCCTCAGCTACAACAGAACCTACAGATCTTCGTGATCGAGTTACATCTAACAAGCGCAGTTACAGTGAAGTCCAAGACTCCCAAGAGGAGGTAAACTATGGAAAATCAGCTCGCCTTGAGGATCGTGAACATGAACATCGCCGTCGACAGAGTTCAGCCGATTATGATTCCTCTCGCCGTGCAAATGGTGATCGTGGAGGCCGTTTCGAAGAGTCTCGTATTCGTGGTCGTAGCCACAGTAATGATCGTGAAGTGTCCCCTGGTTTAAGGGCCTACGAAAGCAGACCCCCTGCACGCGACAGATCCTATGATACAGGCTCTGGTGGACGTCGCACTTTTGAAGTACACGGAAGTTATAGAGGAAAGGCCTTTGATCCAAATTACCGAGGTCGAGGTCGAGGTCGAGGGCGTGGTGACTGGGGATCGCATGAGTCAAGAAGTGAAGCTGGGTTTGGATCGCGAAATGCACTTAGCAAGCCTTACAAAGATCCGAAGGGTTTTGATCGAGGCGGGAAAGGTGGTCAGTGAAAATCACTCAACTTGTTTGACTCCGCTATTTTTTCTTTCAAGTCTTTAGAGATTGCTTTAGTAGCGCTTTCTTGATACCCATGCAATCAAATTTAAAAACAGATACAATTGAAATCGCTATTCTTTTTGCTGTGAATTTGAGTGACAAGTGTCTGCCAATATTTATAGAATTTCCGAAGATGATTCAGAAGGTTCACATGCTAACACCTCCAGATACAAGATACTTTATTGTAAAATCATTCAATGAGGAGAATGTTATCAAATGTATAGAAGATGTAAGTCAACTAAATATCACAACCCATTGAGATCAACTCGACTAATCTGCACCAGGGTGTATGGACCACTCAAGCACAGAACGGACCTATCTTCAAAGAAGCCTTCGAGACCTGCAAAAACGTAATCCTCGTCTTCTCCATCAACAAAAGCCGGGCATTTCAGGGCTACGTAAGTGTCCTCTTCCTCCCCCCTTCCCCCCCTACGTGAAACTAATCACACGATCAAAATCTAGGCACGCATGGAATCCCTCCCTGGCTCAATCGAAGTCCCGTCGTGGCAAAACTCTATCAATTGGGAAAGTGCAGGAGCGTTTAAAGTTCGATGGCTCGCGATAAATAGCACGAGGTTTCACCGCATAGGCCATTTGAAAAATTCGCGGAATGAAAATTTGGCGGTGCTGATTGGGAAGGATGGGCAGGAGATTGAGGAAGGGTGTGGAAGTGATTTGTTGACGTGTATGGATGAGGAGTTGGAGGTGGCGTTGGAGGGGGAGAGGTTGGTGGATAAGGAGGATTTTTGGGATGATTAGGGGGAGGGGGGAGAGGAGGGGAGGAGAGGAGAGGAGAGGAGATGGATGGGTGGGTAGGTGGGTGTAGAGAAGGGGAAGGGGAGATGGAAGAACTTTGTGGAACTAACCAACCAACCATACTTGTGCAAGCAAGGGGCCATGGAAGAAAGAGATAATCTTGTAAGTATAGGTAAAGTATGATTCCTGGTCCCTTTTTTTTCTCGTTGCATTCGTTGCAGTCGTATATACATTTTCGCGCATTGGATTTCTTGCATTGGATTTCTTTTCATGGAAATATATCTGTTATGTTCGTTGTTTATACATGCATGAAATCAAAAGTTACATTACTCGAGTACTATTTATTATTCTTCGCCTGTCTCGTTATATCATGTGTGTGATGTATGTGATAGTGTATGTACAGGTCGCAGGGCGAACTCGAAATACGAGGGGAGGAGTCGGTAGGGATAGGTTGAGGTTTATGTATATGTATGTATATGTATGTAATAAGTAGTTGATGTTATGATATCTTGATCCCCCCCCCCCCCCCAAATTTCTCAAATTATAAATCAAATTACCCCCAAGGATATATACCGTTTTGAGGAGCAATTGGTTGGTTAGCGGGATAGTTGCTAATTGCTAATTGCCAATTCCCAATTGCTAGTGTATCAGAGGGAAATCAGTATATGCTGTATTTAATATGTAATATGTAATAAGTATGGAAAATGACTGAGTTGTTGCTGCTACTTGCTGTTACTGTTCGCACACCCAGCTAGGTAGGTACTAAGTACTAAGTACTAATGATGGATGATGGATGATGGGTTTCTGAATGAGGTAATGTGGATGGGGAAGGATGGGAAAGGATGGGAAAGGAGGGGAAAGGAAAGAATAGGAAAGGAAAGGATAAGAAAGGATGGAAAAGGTTATGGATATTAGGTACGAGTAGATGGGGTTATCGGTTGTGCTATCTAATAGATAGATAGATATAGATATGCGCACTACACTCTCAGCTAATACGTCTAAAGAGTTAATGAGTATGATATTACTAAACATGCAAGAAGATCATCGAATGCATATCATATCGTTGAAAATATCTCAAGAAAATACTGTATTTGAAAAAAGCAGAAATTCCCAAGGGATAAAATTCCAACGCCCGAGAAGTAAAATTTTAAAATATCCACCATTCGTGTATGGGGATATGTGTATGTATAAAACCCAGCCTTGGAAAAAAAAAAGATCACTTCTCATCTATAGATGGAAGCGGAGCATGTTCGAATCGAAGGTGGAGTTTACCAGCAGATGGTCCACAGGTATATCCATCCATTTGATCGACTCCATCATCGTTTATGACTAGAGTGCTGAAATTGGTGTAGATGGCCGCTATTATGAGTTTAATTTCTGTGATGATTGTTCATTAGTACCGGGACTGTATCGAGATGAAGGTGCTTGGGAGAGAAAAGAAGGGAGATAAAAGAGAAAGAGAAACCAACCTAGCATAGCAAAATTACTCCCAATACACATCCTTCCCCCACTACTAAAGGCCCAAAAGGCACGATCCCTCTCTCGTTTCTGCTCCTCCGTCATACCATTTCCTTCCATCCATCGCATATAATCAAATTTTTCGGGTTCGGGAAAGACCTTCTCGTTACGATGGACACTATGAGCTTGCGCGCCGATTCTGACACCGCCGGGAATATTTTTGTAGGCACCGATATCGCAGCTCGGGTGGGGAGTCATACGGGGAAGACCACCTGGGATGGCGGCGCGGAGACGAAGTGTTTCCATTAGGACAGCGTGGAGGATGGGGAGAGCATCGAGATCTTTACGGTCGGGTATTTTGGGGGTTTGGGAGGATGTAGATGAGGGGGAGAAAAGCATGTTGGGTGAGAGAGTAAGGAGTTCCTTCCTTAAAGACTTTTGGAGCATGGGATCGATGGATAGATGCCATGCTAGATATGTAACCGTAATACCAGCAGTTTCGTGACCGGCCGCGAGATGATCAATCATCTCGCTGTACATACTACGATCTGGGAACTTGAGGGTTTCTTCCTTGAGGACAGAATCATCCCCGCGGAGTTTCATTTCTTTCTCGATACCATATATCATGGCGTTGTAGACCACTGGTTCGTTGCCAGGCTCAGAATCCCAGGTTCCGCCTTCTTTGAGGAATTTAGCAGTTGCTTCGCAGCGATGTTGACACCATTCTTCTAATTCTTCGTTGGCGGCATCGACAAATGTGGGGACGATGCGATATATATACGTGTTGAGGAATCGAGTAAGACGGGGAAGTTCTTGTGGATAGAAAGTATAACGGTGGCGCCCTTGGTAAAGTCTTAGCCAATGTCTCCTATATGAGACATCCTTAATGAAGTTGGCGCCGTTCTTGAGGCCGAATAGATATGAAGAGACGAAATCCATAGTAGTTCCATTGAATAGATCGTAAACATCAACTCCGTAGGGACTTGGAGAAGATGAAGCCAAGTTTGAAATGGTGGGTAGAAGACGCTCATAAAGAATGACCCTTGCTTGTTCCGCCAATGCCGAAGACGATTGAAGTGTAGACTTTGAATAAGTATTCGAAATCATTCTCTTTCGAGATGAATGATTCTTCGAAGGCAGTGTTGAGAACATACAAGGGACACTACCACGTGGTCAGAGAATTCCGAGAAAACTTTGCAGAGAAAGAAATTACCCATAGTTGTCAAAGATTGAATACCACTTTCCCTTCTCAAACCCACCTCCATATACAAGGCGAAGACCTTCAACATCATTTGTAGAGAGTTCATTAGGACCGAGTCGGATCAAAGGACCTAGTTGCCTATGCAGTGCATGAACTGTCCGATTCTCCCGACAACGAAATCTTTGAAATAGAATCCATGTAGGTGAAAATGGAGAAGACCAGTGTGCATTTGGTATCTTTGCCAAAGGCGAAACAAATGCAGGATAGATGAGGAATCTCCATATGAGACCAATCAAGATGCCTATGCCTGCAAGCCCCAGAGTAGAGATGGCAACCATGATGATGGGTTTCCAGAAGAACTTTCTGTCTAAAGACTAGATTGAAAAGCTTTGTAACTGTACTCAAGCAGTGTAAAGGAAAGATCTGAATCCCATCAAACAAAAGAAGATAATAATGAATATAAAGTGGGGGATTGGTTATCGGTAAATCTCCACGAGAAGACGACTCTCAACTCTCAACAGCTTATTGGAGGCCTTGGAATGATTCAGTTCTGTGGGCTTGAAGGAACCTTGCCAAGTGAATGTATGAGTACCGGTAAATGTATAGGTTAATATATTGGATTGGTTGAAGGTTCTCGTCGCATGCAATATATATATATAAATATATATTGCTTGTTTGGTAGATGTGGTAGTACAGTAACGCTTCTTTCTCTTACCAAGTCCCGTATTGGTCATCTTTTCCGACCCCTCCTCTCTCCCTTATCAGTCTTGACGACGACAACTTTTACCCCACTAGGAGGCTAAGGAGCTAGTGAAATCTGGTCAGGGGGGGGGAGACCATGCTCAGATTGCATTCCCCGAGCCGATCCGTAAATCGTGAACCGATAGAAGCTGAATACCGTACAGGTACAGGTGCTGCAGCTGGTTGATGAAGATCTAACTTTAGTTTTGTTAGAACTTTCATTGAACTTCAAGTTATTTTATCATGAATCGGTGAAACGCAAGGTTATATATACATGAAAGAGTATCTTCCGAGAAATTGTTAATTCTGTTGATCATTGCTTTGTACATCACTTCCTGGTAACGAGAAAGCAAGAGAAATGGCGATGATTCATAGTTGATAATATCCGGTATATAATGACAGTGATGACTCTGTAACCTTCATCCTTCCTGATATCTGACAGATGTATAGTCATAGAACCAAGCTTTCAAATATCACAGCAAAGTCCCGTACCATGGAAACAAATCCAATATATAGAACATAAACGACAAAGCATGAATCACCTGTTTGTGGCATGAGAGGATTTTCTTTGTCGATTGAGAAAAAAGTGTGTGACAATGTACAATACATGGACCCGGTTGTGAGTACTGCCCTTGCAAGCCACATGGATGCCACTCAATATATATTTAATAACCTTGTACAACCTTGGGCGCATAGCCTTCCTCAAGATATGCAATATCCTCTGCTGTCAACTTTCCAGAACTGGCGAATTGGACAGCCTCTACAGCTTGTTCAATCCTCTCCTTGCTACTCAAGCCAATAATCGGATTGACACTGTCCTTGTTGAGACACCAAGCAATAGCCACAGTAGCCATGCTTACTCCCTTCTTCTTTGCAATCTCTTCAACGCGATTAATGACAGTTTTGTCAATATCGGTTTCTTTGCTACGGATCAAGGCCTTGAGCATCATGTCACTATTTTCACGAGTTGTAGCTCGGTTATTGAAAGGGCGAGCAAGTGCTCCTCTGGCAATTGGGCTCCAGGGGATAAGTCCGACACCAGTATCTCTACAGTATGGAATCATCTCTCGCTCTAAAGGTGGTTCGTATTAGTATCTTGCCAACAGATGGTAATGGCGAACATACCCTCTTCACGATACAGTAAGTTGTAATAATTCTGCATGGAAATAAATTTATGCCATCCTTTCTTCTCTGCGATATTTTGAAGCGTTTGAAATTCCCATGCCGCCATCTGTTAAATGTAAGTCTCCACTCTTAATCTTACGATGCATCATCAAACTTACACTGCTTGCACCAATATACCGAACTTTGCCACTTTCCACAACATCATTCAAGGCTCTCATAATTTCCTCCCTTGGAGTATCGCGATCGAGTCGGTGAATCTGCAGGACATCGATATAGGTTCCTAATCGAGCAACGCTCTTGTCCACAGCATCAAGAATGTGTTTTCTGCTCAATCCTACCCGGTTGACCATCTCCCCATCATTTTTAGAAAGCGCCGAGATCAAGGGTTGTGTTCCATCTTCAGCAACACCAAAATAGCATTTGCTAAGAATAACAACCTTGTTGCGTGGAATTGAGTATTGCTTCAAGGCCTTCCCGATGATTTCTTCGGATCTACCACTGGAGTACGTATCTGCAGTGTCCCATGTATTCAATCCGAGATCGTATGCGTGTTTCAATAGCGGAAGAGCTTCATCCTCGTCAAGTACCTTATGATGTTAGCAAGATACTTAGCTATCATGACAATTGAGGAATGGCTACCCAGTCTTGCCATTCGGATGATCCAAAAGACATTGCACCAAAGATAACTTTGGATATCTTCAATCCCGAGTTACCGAGTCTTGTGTACTCCATCTTGAATTCTTTGGGGGCCGACATGTTGATTGTATCACGGTATGATTATGAAGGTCTTAAGAGAGAATGATCTTGAGGAGGAGAGAGAGAGAGAGAGAGAGAGCAAAAGAGAGATATGTCCTTGAGTTCTTAAGCAACTCAATTCTTAGCAATCACCTTACCTATCTATACCTTCCTACCTTACTGCAGCTAAGCTTTATTTGTTTGTTGTGGAGTTGCCCCTCATTGAACCTACCGCATTTTACAACCGACATGATGGATGTGAATATTCTCGGATCTAGCTTGGAGTTATATCCGATTAAGACCGTAAAAACTGAGCTAAGATAAGGAAGGAAGATTACTGATAAGCTTAGTTCCGATAACCGGATTCCACCTTGGATCCCTTGCTTTGTACCTATACATTGTAATCAAACCTTTGCTCTTAAGTAATTCATGTCTTGGCTCTTGACAAAGTCCTCTGTCACGGCTTCTTTCATGGATATATTCGAAGAAAAATACAATACTACCAAGTACATGAAACGGTAGATACAATACAACTTTCAAAATGTCTCTCACTGTGTTGACAGACACGGATATCAAACATCTTCTTCAAGATCTCACTATTAGAGATGTGGAAGCTTTCCAGGATAAAATGAGACGAGCTCTTCATGAGTATTCTACAGGGACACAGGACGATGACTGTTGCAGTCTACATCAGCCTAGAAGAACAATTCTCGAGTCAAAACATAAAAGAACAACACTCTTTATGCCCTCTACTGCATCTGCAGGAATTGGGATGAAAGGTAAGCTATCTTTCTTGCCCAAATAGTACCACTCGTATACTAGCTTTCATAGTTGTGACTCTTCCTCAGCCAAGTTCTTCCAGTGAGGTTTTAGATTCCGACTCTGTATCTACCTCCTCATCAACCAAAAACACAAGCACCCCTCAGGGTTCCCTCACACTCATGGATAAAACAGGGCTACCGTTTGGCTTTCTTAATGCATCAGAAACGACAGCTTTTCGCACAGCCCTAGCTTCCTCTCTTCTTATCACACCCCGTACCAAGGTCAAAACTATAACTGTCTTTGGTGCGGGGAAGCAAGCGTTCTGGCACATCCGTCTTGCTCTTATTATCCGCGGCTCAACTATTAAACAAATAAACATAATATCCCGCGCTTTCACAGATCGTGTTCGTGATCTAATGACAGCGTTTTTTGAAATACCAACTGCCACGAAAGAGCGAGAAGGTTGGAGCAATGCGAAATTCTCAGTTCTTAGTCCTGCCTATGGAGAATTTACTCGCCTCGAAAAGGAGTATATTCGAGCTGCAGATGTTATTTTCTGCACGACTGCCTCTACCTCACCCCTATTTCCTCATTCCATTTTGACAAACACGGAAGGTCGTAAGAAGGGTCGCCTCATTGTCGCAATAGGCAGTTATAAACCTCACATGATCGAAATACCTCTCGAAGTTGTAGCACAAGCAATCAAAGTTCATGGCAGTGGCCATCATTTCCATAGACATGCCGAGGAAGGTCGGGTAATCGTAGTTGACACGATAGACGGATGCAAAGAAGAAGCAGGAGAGATAATCCAAGGCAACGTTTCGGCAAAGAATCTGGTGGAACTAGGTGAACTGGTAATGCTATCCCATGGAATCGATCCTCTTAATCATTCTTCTGCTATTGATGATTCAGATGAATCCACACGCAACTCACTTGATTTCCACCAACTAAATTTGAACGGTCCCGGAACAGGAGACGGTAGCGAAACACCAACCCCCAGCTCACCCCTCGCCCGCAGCATGGCCAACGTATTCAACACCGAACACTCTATCTCGCCCTCCCCTTCGACCTCCCGCACTCCCTCCCGCAAATCATCCTTCTCCTTCCGCAAACCCAAATCCAGAACAGGATCCGCAAGCACAAGTACTACTGGCTCAAGCGGCACATTGGGCATGCTGGGAAAGGAGGTGCAGGCAGAAAAAGAAGATGCAATGATTAGATGGTTGAGGAATGGAAACGTTATATATAAGAGTGTGGGGATAGGACTCATGGATTTGGTGGTGGGGGCTGAATTAGTTAGGTTGGCGAGGGAAAGGGGGGTGGGTGTTTGTGTGGAGGGGTTTTAAAGCAGGGTTCCGTTCAATGATGGGATTGGATGTGATGGGATAGACACAATGTCACATTGGAATATAGGAAAATCAGAGTTACAACGGCGGATAGATTCATAATACCTCCTTATTGTAGCGTTAAGAGTTAAGATAGATACCAAGGGGGCTTTTTGGAAGTGGAAAATAATACGCATTGGGATACCATGGAACTACGCTTTGTATTTACTGTATAGTAATTCGCAATATAATCGAACAACGGTTTCCTATGGAAAAAAAGTTTATTCTATCTAGAACAGAACATGCACATTCACATTCACGTTTTTTGAAACTTTGAAATCGCCGCCGTAGAGTATTCATTCACTCATTCACTCACTCATCTACCCACTCCATTCATTCATTGTAAGCAAAAGAGTGTGAAAGGTAAATAAGGGTTGCATTCAACATAATCATAATCATAACCATAACCATAACCATAACCATACCCATAACGATAATCTAATCTAATCTAATCTAATCTACGAGTAATCATGCACGCTCACTCACTCACTCACTCACTCACTTCACTGTATACATATATTCGAGTATATTCGAATATAGATAGAGTAGCTATATATACAAACCATACAAACCATACCATATCATACCATACCATACCATACCAATACCATCCCACATCATATCATATCATATCATACCCATACCCAGTACAAGAACTATTCTAAGAAAAGAAAAAAGATTTCATCATGTTATTTTAACGACAACAGCATTTAGGTTTAAGTTTAGGATGTTTTTTTTCTAACACATCATAACATTGAATCTTCTACTTTCTTTCTTTCTTTCTTTCATTTAGGTAGGTAGGTAGGTACCTAATACTTCTTCCCTCAATACTGCCTGCCTGCCTCCCTCCCTCCCTATCCCTCCCTATCCACGGGTATTCGTCTGTCTGTCTAATAGAACTAGGAGGTAGGTAGGTAGGTAGGTAGGTACTGTAGTGCTAATCTCTCTCTCTTTCTCTCTCTACGAGTATTTCCGTAACTGTAACCCATCACATCCAAATCCAAAATTTAATTGCCTTTAATCGTATCGTACCGTATCGTATGCCACCATACATACCATCGACCCGACTCCCAAACTCAATCTCGATCCGCATGTCTGCCTTCTAAACTCCCTTTGCTTTCCTTTGCTTTCCTTTACTTTTCATCCTACAGTATATAACATGTATGTGCGTGTGTTTATTCAAAACTTGCGGGTTCTTCGTCCCCTGCCCGAAATCATGCGGTACTCAACGTAGCACCCTCCTTTCCAAAAACCAACATGCCGTGCGCACCCTTCACCAATTCCTTTTCTTTTCCCCCCTTCGCATCATCCGCCGCGCCATCGTTCCACGCCACACCCTCCTCTTCCTCATTACAGTTTCCTACCCCCAAATCCCGAATCTTGCCACATGCAATATCATACACGACGCCATGAACCTTCAACCCCCTCTCCCTCACCGCCTCCTCCACAACCACATTCCCCATCAACACCTCCACCCCCTTGGCCACATTCAACTCCGCCAGACGCCCCGCCCGCGCCGCATCTTCTTTGATTCCCTTGAGTTCCTTGTCGTGGAGTTTAGTCAGTGCCTTGAGAGGTGCAAGCCAAGTATCTAACACACCGCCAACACGGGAACCACCCAGAGCAGCGGCCGCTCCCCCGCAAGATGTATGCCCACAGAGAACAATGTGCGATACTTTGAGGTGCACGACGGCGTATTCGATGACGGCTGAGGAGTTGATGTCGGTTGGTGAGACGATGTTGGCGATGTTGCGGTGGACGAAAACGTCGCCGGGTTGGAGGCCAAGAACGGTGGTTTCCGGGACGCGGGAATCGGAGCAGCCGAGCCAGACTGGGGAGGGAGGGTTAGTTTTGTGTTGAGGGGTTGGTGGGGAGATAGGTGAGGAATGAGGAATGAGGGGGATGGTAGGAGAACTTACGGATACTAGGACTTTGGCCTTGGGCCATGGTAGGGAAGAACTTGGGATTTTGATGGCTTTTATAGCCGGCCCAGGCGGCGTTAGAGCTCAAGGCATAATCGAAGGGGGTTTCTAAGGGATTGTTAGTACACACATCATGAAATGATGTGATGTATGTTTCGTTGAAAAGTTCCCTCTGTATATATCCCCGGATGTGGTGAGAGTAGGTAGGTAGGTAGATAGGTAGGTGGTAGATATTAAATGGTGGTCGAACAAGAGAGGAGGGGGAATTTCTTACCAGAACCCATTATTTATTCTAACTTCAACACTTCACTGACAATTTGATTTATTTTTCCCTTTCTTTCTGTCGTTCTTTCTTTCTTCCTTTCTTACTCCGGACTTCCCTCTTTCTTTTGTAGTAATTGGTAAATTATCGTTGGTATCCAGAATAGGAGATATGTTATTTAGGGTTCTCGTAGGAATTGAATTGAATTGAATTGAATTGAATTAGTAGGTAGAAGTATTCGAAGATATGGAGTTCAACTGGTTCAAGAGATATGAGGCATAAAGTGTAACGGATGGGGCTTATTTCTTTGAAAATGTTGAGGGTCGGGATTGGCACTTTTGATCTAAATGGGGGGACCTTTTGGTGGAACTTAGATCCGACTAGCCAGGGTTCTGACCTGCATGATAAGAGGGGGGGATTTGGATTCGATAAGGGTTGACCAATGGGAATTACTCAATTCACTTGGATGAACTTGTGGAGAGCTAGACTTTTTGAATTGATGGATTTGATGATAATAATGATGATGATGATGATTTATCTTGTGTAGTATAGGTAATATGTAAAAGAAGATGATATGAAAAGAAAAGAAAGAAAAGAAAAGAAAAGAGAAAATATGTAAATAAAACAAGACCTATCTACCTATCTTGCCAACAAACTCAAACTCAAACTCATCTCTCTAACACAGTATAAACCAATGAACATCAACGACAAGACAAGACAAAACAAAACAAGACAAAACAAGACAACATCAGACATTAAAACCCATGTTCTTGGATCAGTCCTGAGTCCGAGTACCAATACCAATACTGGTAGTTGTATTCTGTATTCTATTTTGGGGGGAGCGGGGGGCCGGGGGCGGAGGGGGTTTTCATTTTCTATTTCATTATTCGGATCTAAACTCATCCAAGAGTCAAACTAATCCCCCTATTTACTTATTTACATATTCATACCATAGTGCCGCACCCCATTTTCTCCCACTCCACTCCCCCTTCCCTTCCCCTCCCCAAAAACCCAAATACTGCCCTTCCCTTCCCATCCGTCTTCCTTCCCTCCCTCACCCCCCTCCCCGATACAACATCTCCCTCAAAATCTCAAAATCCCATATATAATATATATATATTAAACCCCAGCACACTCTAATCATGCCGCCTTCCCGCCTTCCCTTCCCGCCTTCCTTCCCGAGACATTACAGTACAAGTACAATATACTTAGATATACTACATAAGTACATAGGTACAACCAACTTCCATATTCCATACCGTATATCCTCACCTTATTATACGAGTATTCTGGTACCCTAGATAAGGCTCTAATCTAGCCAAAGGACATTCCCCAATTTCATCCCCATAATTGAACGGGTCCCATCTACTCGTATTCATCTATTCATCTATCCATCTATCCATCTATCCATCCATCTATTCATTTCTACTCGTACATCCATTCAATTTCTACACCTCCAAAATCCCAATTATTCCGATAACCCGACAACCCGATGACTAGCCGTGATTATTACACAAATGAATGCTTGGTTCTACTGTACTTTGCCCAAGCCCCTTCCAAGAAAAAAATTCTTAAAAATGAACTTGGCTGAAGTTAGAAATTGTGAATCCCTTGTCTGATGAGGAACTTGCATATTATAGACATTATAGATTCTAATAGATCTCTTAAACGTGCTGCTGACCTCTCTTATAATTCGTGCAATTCTAAAAGATGTTATGTTGAAACTTCCTTTCTTTACTCAGCAAAGTTTGCTGAGTGTAGTACAGTAGGGTATAAAATTTGACCGAAGAGATTCCAAGACTTGCTTTAATCACAAATACTTTTTACCTTACAGGCTCACTCCCTGCTGGAAGAAGCGCATAATTTTTGCGACGGGATGAGAAACTCGAATGGAACACAGAAAATAAGAAAATATCACCAAGACTAATTTAATTGCAAGGGCACGAAGTGTTTGAACATCTGAATCAAAAGTCAGGTAAATTATGGTATCATACAGCCTTTCATATTTTGATATCTCAAGCTGCTTGCCTAGCTAAGTGTCCTTGCCATGCCATAATATCATAAAAAAACGCCGGAGGTAAAAGTCACATCAAGATCATATTTAGATCTTGATAGCGCTCTCAAGAGCCTTGCGGCTCTTCTCAGTGCGGGCATTAGCCTTGGCACCCATAATACCACCACCCCAGTGTCTGGTGGCGCTCTCATCATGTCCATCCTTAATGGCTTGAACCAATTTCGACAACTCAGTCTTGTCCTCTGAGCGAACCTCAGTAATGGCGAGAACAGCAGCGGTCTTCTTGTGAACGACCGTGCCGAGTCTGGCCTTACCCTTGATGATGGCGTAAGGGACACCCATCTTCTTGCACAAAGCTGGAAGGAAGATAACCAACTCAATTGGGTCAACATCGTTAGGGATGAGAACCAAAGAAGCCTTCTTAGCCTCAATCAAACCAACAACGTGGTTGAGACCGTACTTGACGGCATATGGCTTCTTGCTGACATCTTCCTTCTTCTTTCCCTCCTTGATGGCGGTAGCCTCCTTCAAGAGACGTTCCTTCTTCTCGGCCTTGCTCTCTGGGCGGTATTTGTTGAGGAGCTTAAGGGCTTGAGCGGCGGTGTTACGGTCGAGAACGTGTTGGAATTGAGCGATCGCAGGTGGGACCTTCAATCTCATGTTGAGGATCTTCTTTTGGCGTTGAAGACGGATATACTCGGGCCATTTCACCATACGGGAAAGGTTCTTCTTTGGCTGGATGTCTTGACCGATACCGAAGTTACGGGTACGCTTCTCGATGAGAGGGTTCTTAATCTCATTAGCATTGGGATGGACATAGAAAGGGGGATGTATTTAACGTACCTTGGCCGCCTTTTTTGCTCCCGCACCAGCTTTGGACTGGGGGAATGGGGCTGGCGCCGCCTTCTTTCCGGACTTTGGAGGCTGTCATTGAGAAAAGTAGACATCAGCGAACATGTTCACCAAGTGTCTTCTTTGAACTCTAAAGAGACTATACTGGTATTTCTACACAGATATAGCTCAAGCCAAATCAAAATCAAAACCTCGAAAGGTAATTGATTGAAAATTGCATCTCGACGTGCGATTGCTCGTAGAGGTGCGAGAGCAGATGGCGAGTCGTAATTATTCCATTTCACGAGAGTCAAAAACAATTCAAAGGCTTACCATATTGATCGATGTGAAGCGGCGAAATTTGTCGATTCGTAGTTGTCGTCGAGATAGTAATCAACAGGAAAAAGGTTTTCAGATTTTACGAATTATTGAGTGTGCGCGCTAGAGTATCAAAATCTTGGCACGCTAACTAAGTTCGGGAATTGCACGTGAGAGGCGGGCAATTTGTTCACTCCAACATTTTAATAATAATTCCCCGCGTTGATTTGTGGATTTCTGGATGATTTGACTTCTGCGACAATTATCATTATTTGCCTTACACAACTATTTTCAAGATGGCACCGACACCTTGTGCTATCTGTAAGAGCGCAAGAGCTCTAATAATTAGACCAAAGAATCACCAAAAACTATGCAAAGCATGTTTCATCTCTATCTTTGAAGCGGAAATCCATCATACTATCACATCGACATCTCTCTTCTCACCGGGCGATCGAATAGCAATAGGAGCATCAGGAGGAAAGGATTCAACCGTACTCGCATCGGTTCTGAAAACCCTCAATGAAAGATATAATTATGGCCTTGAACTTGTTCTACTGAGTATCGACGAAGGAATAAAAGGCTACCGCGATGACTCTCTCGAAACAGTCAAGCGAAATGCGATACAATACGATATGGCCCTCAAAATCGTAGGATACGATGAATTATATGGATGGACTATGGATCAAGTGGTCGAAACAATAGGCAAGAAAGGAAACTGTACATATTGTGGTGTCTTTCGCAGGCAGGCTTTGGATCGAGGGGCGAAAATGCTGGGGATTAAACATGTGGTTACGGGACATAATGCAGATGATGTCGCAGAGACCATCTTGATGAATCTGCTGCGCGGAGATTTACCTAGGTTGGCACGAAGTACTAGTATAGTTACCGGCGACGAATCGAGCGAAGTAAGGAGAAGCAAACCATTGAAGTATGCATATGAGAAAGAGATTGTTCTATATGCGCATCATAAGAAATTGGATTATTTCACCACGGAATGTTTATACAGTCCCGAAGCCTTTAGAGGCAGTGCGCGAAGTTTGATCAAGAATCTAGAGAGAGTGCGACCGAGTGCGATTCTAGACGTGGTACGCAGTGGAGAAGACATGGCCAAGTTAGTCCCCGCAGAAGTCACCGGAATAAGTCAATGTAAGAGTCAGAATGTCTCATTGGCAGCTACCAACGACGAGGAAGAAGGAAACGGAGGCTGTGGAACTAATGGTCGATCAAGCGGAGGCGAAATGGCGGATATGGAAAAGAAGCTGCACGACGACGAAGAAGCCTCAGGGAGAGAAATCGACGTATCATCAATCACATCAAATATGACCAATACCAATGGTCAACGTCACGATACAATAGACAAGACCGAGGCTGCTCCAGCCAAGAGGGATGGTCGCAAACTCACAAAACAAACATTGGGAACGTGTAAGAAATGTGGATACATGTCGAGTCAAGAGATGTGCAAAGCATGCGTCTTGCTCGAGGGATTAAATAAGAACCGTCCGAAGATGCAGATAGAGATAGAGGTAGATGTAGAGGATGAAGAAGAGAGCTCAACACTTAGAAGGAGAATGGAGGGGTTGGCTTTGGCGGCTGGATAGATCGCATATATCATATCATATTCATATTCATAATGCTAAAAAGATACCCCAAGAATCGTTATTGTTGTTGTTGTTCTTATTCATAGTGAAGTAAATACATACTTAGTATGACTGAAGTTTGAATCCGAAAGTGAAAGTGTCGCCTATCCAATAATCATCGAAATCCCTAGACTGACCTTCGATCTCTCAACCTCCATCCTCCATCGAGAACATTCAATTCTCACTAAAAACTACGACAACCACAGAACTATCATCCCAATCATCCATCCCATCACTAACCACCATGTCCCCACCAACCCTCTCCTCTTCCACCACCCTACCAGCAGCCCCTCCTTCTCTCCCTCTCCCTCTCCCTCTCCCTCTCCTTCTCACCACCCCCCTCGCCCACCTCCACCCCCTCCCACCCCTCAATATGAATATTCCCCCGACTTTCGAAATCCTCTCCCACCCCCCTCGCCTTCCCACCCCCACCACCAACCCCAACACGCCCGCCTGCCTCGCCCGCCTGCACACCTTTGCCTCTCAGCGGCGCGCCGGCATGTTCTCTCTCCACACCCATACCCCGACCCAGACCCATACCAAAAAAGAATTGCAAGCAAAGCAAAAGCGCATTTTGGATAAGAAAAAGGCAGTGGAGAAAGAGGCTGGAAAGAAGATGTTTGGGGGAACATTGGCTGAGGTTTTGCGTGTCGTGGCGGAGTTGAAGGTACGTTGTGTTATGTGGGTTATCTGGTGTTTGTGGCTGGGAGAGGAGAGTGAGAATGATAAAGGGAAGATTGGAATGGGAGAGGAGAGGAGGCAGAGAGAAAGGAAGAAAGGAAGAAAGGAAGGATAGATAGATAGATAGATAGATAGATAGATAGGATGATGGGATAATAAGCTAACAACTACAAATAGCTCCAACACCCCGAAATTCCAAACGCAGTTCTAGAGCAAGAAGCCTGGAAACGGGTTTTGTACTAGTCTAAATTGTTGTGAGTATACTCCTGTCTTGTTTGTTCGTTCCACTCCTTTCTTTACATTGTATATTGCACATGGTGTGCCAGAGGAATATCGGCTAATATCCCATGCGCAGACAGACAATCCTCTCTGGTTCTTATATACCCATCCCGTTGCTGTGCCTCGCACTATTGCTGTCTTTCCGCTCTGCTTCCGGGGAGAGAATATCAGGATGGATGAATGGATGGATGAGATGAGATGAGATGAGATGCTGTTGTCTCCTTTCGTTTCGAAACGGATAATTGAAATTTGTTACTCTTCTGCAATGCCTTTCTCTTGCAGATGTGAGTGTTTATGAATGGTTAATGGATAGAGGAGCCCCAAACCAATATACTAAAATTCTGAACTTAATCTTCTCACTTGAGGAAGACCCAATACTCACTCGCAGGTAACCACACCAAATCATAACACCGCACCTATGGGTACAGAATATATTGAAGAAGTAAACTAACACTGTGCTACACTATATACCCTACACTTGAACCTTTTCTTCATTTGCTCCTTCGGCCAGAAAGAGCAATACTCTCGGCATCCGTAACACAATCATTCACGGTGGATACCTTCTCCATCTTCAACCTAGATTGCGTCTGTGTCTTCTCCTTACGTGCAGCAGCAGTATCTCCAATTGCCCGTCTGGAAGTGCCTGGGGAACAGTATCTCGTTCACAGCTGCTAGGACAAATACCTGAGGCGAGCCTTGTGCCAATCAGGCCTACTGAGATTCTCTCTCCTCCGATTGGCTCTCGCTCTACCATGCCCATATCGATTAAATTCTCGATTATCGTATCTGACGGTTAGGACGCGTTACAAAAGTGTATGTGACCATTTCTATGATAAGAATGTTTGCTTGATGTTTAACTATAAACGTGATCGCCTATTGGGAAGTAGGAAAGGGGCGTACGAGCAGAATAATGGAGGTGAGGCAACCATCATCCACCTACCATTGTGAGTGCGTGTTGACTGTTTTTGAATTGTGGAAGGTATAGGAAGTAGAAGAGGTGAAGAAGATGGAATATTTGGGTGGTGAAGGGTAGTGGTTGAGGAGGAATAGGTGGAGAGTAGAGGTTTTCTTGGAAGAGGGGCGAGATGTGGGGGGTTCGACAGGAATGATGCCATCGCCCCCCTTCTTCTTTCCTGTGCACTGTTCGGCTGCGTGAATTGCACATGCCTAGAGCTTTTGGTACACCTGAGCAATTTAAGGTCTATAAAGAATCATCTGCTTCCTCAATCCATAATAGCTTGAGCACGCAATTCGAAACGCCATCATCCTCGATGCTTCTTGAATGCTTCTTGGACCGACATTCCTTGCTTAACTTCATCCTTCACATGATCATCCGCTGCAACAAGACCTGGCAGCATTGAGATGACATCGGCTATCTTTTCGTGTGGGATGATGACAACACCATTCTTGGGATCGCAGAATGCTAAGTCTCCAGGATATATGTCTGTCCCGTCAATTCTCAATGGTACTTGAACTGCGTGTGGCTTGGATTCTGCACCAGCACCAACTATTGATGTGCCTCGAGACCATATCTACAGGAATCGTCAGCAAAACTCGGGGGAAATCGGAAAGCTTCTCTGAAAGCTCAAAGGTTGTGATCGGTTGATCTTGGCGAATGGTAAAGGGAAGCATGCCATATTCCTTATGGCTCTGGATAAGGGAAATGGCCCAGAGAACTTACAGGAAGTCCGGTAGCTTCAAGTTCATCAAGATCCCTAATTCTTCCACCAACAACTACACCTTTAGCGCCAAGAACTTGGGCTCTCAGTGCCATTATTCCACCTAGTACAGCATTGTTTTGACCTTCAGGTTGACATATCACCACAATCGAGTCAGGTACTGTGAGATCGACCCAATGCTTGTCAGTGTGAATATTTGCGGCGGGGTAATCTGAGAGATCTGTGCTACTCCTCTTTGGTGCAAAGATAACAGTTGAAATTGGAGCAATAGTAATTTTGTTGAAAGCTGCTGAAGTAAATGCAGGTTTAAGATCAGGAAGAAAGCCAGCGCCCGGTACTTTGAGCTTGAGAAGAGCATCTGCAATATCACAAGCTGTGTAATGCTTTTGAAGAGCCTCAATTTGCTCCTTGAGTGGTTTTGATTTATCTGAAGTAGACATTGTTCGAAATGAGAATTTGATGATAGAATGAGGGGATGATCTAGAATATGAAAAAGGGGTACCAAATATCTTTGACTGGAAAAGATATCTGTAGATATGAGGGGGTACTATTCACAATTGATGGATTTAGATGGGACTGGAGTACTACTCTAGCTCATCCGCTGCTTAGAGATGTTCCGGATACCGCTCTATTGCAGATCAAGATTCTACCTATGGATCATATTGTATGTAGGTACCCAAACAAAAAGCAAGCAGAATAACATTGACAACTGGAACCTATTCCTGTGGTTCCGAAAGTACTTTCCCCATTTATTTCTCTGATAAACTGGTAAATAGAGGCACAAAGACTGACAAAGTCCAACCAACAGGTCTCAGATTTAGCGGATGATCTAGCCAAGAGGTGGTACACAGATAATATCTAATAAACTAGTATATACTCACAGATCTGATCTGCACAACAAACAACAAGTATCTATCTATTCTACTGTTTTATTATTTCAAAATTATCACAAATGAAGCAGAGAGTGTCTCTTCAAGAATATATATTTATATTCTATTGTTAAATTGAATTTTGATAAAGTTTGAACAAGGACTTTTAATTGGATTAATAGTAGTAGTACTATACTAACCGTACCAGTACCAGTATTGTCCATTTGTTGGTTCTAGGCCTAGGTACTGGGAAGGGGAAGGTGCAGTAGTCAATTATCGCTAATTTTAATTTTAAATCTCTAAGACTTCAACACAAAAGTACCGGGCACAAAATACCAACATAAATTCGAGTACCATCCTATCTTCTTTCTCCTTTCTCCTTTCTCCTTTCTCCTTTTTTTTGATCTTTATAACTGAGTGAAGCAGTACAGTAGCAGTAAAGAAAGAAAGAAAGAAAGAGAGCAAGCAAGCAAGAAAGCAAACAAGCATTCGAGAAATTTAGTATTCATCATGTCTCCAGCCGCCCCTCATCCTATTGCGAAAGCCTCATTTGAGGATCGAGCCTCGAAAACAAAGCATCCCTTATCCGCCTACCTACTTCGTCTTATGACCCTTAAACAATCCAATCTATGCGTCAGCGCCGATGTCTCCACTGCCAGCGAGCTTCTCCAAATAGCGGATTCGGTCGGTCCATCCATCGTTGTGCTCAAGACCCATTATGATCTCATCAACAACTGGGATTACAACCCAATAACGGGCACGGGAGCACGCCTCAACCGTCTCGCACGTCGTCATGGGTTCCTCGTCTTTGAAGACCGGAAATTCGGTGATATTGGAAATACCGTGCAATTACAATATACTGAAGGCACAGCCAAGATCATTGAGTGGTCGCACATCACCAATGTTAACATGATACCCGGGAAAGCCAGCGTGGATTCCTTGGCCGAAGCAGCGGCACGATGGAGAGAACGTAAACGTTATGAAGTCAAGACGAACATATCGGTTGGGACCCCTCGACCCGAAAGTATTGAAAGCGACGAAGATCAAATCACCACTCCTATAAATTTTGACAGCAAGCCCAATAAAATCACGGATGGTGCTCATGGATTGGAAGCACACGATAACGCGAATATTGGACGAAAAGCTAGTATCGTATCTATTACCACCGTGTCACAACATTTCGAACCGGCCAATTCTCCACGCTCGCGCATCGATTTTGATCTTGAGGAAGACGCATATCCTGGAATCGATGAGGCGCCTTTGGAGAGAGGTCTTCTGATATTAGCACAAATGAGTAGTGCGGGCAATTTCATGACGAGAGAGTATACTGATGCGTGTGTGGAAAGTGCGAGAGAACATAAACAATATGTGATGGGATTTATTTCGCAGGAAACGCTAAATACGAATGCGGATGATGATTTCATTTGTATGACCCCAGGATGTCAATTACCGCCTGAGAATGATGAAGAGGCGGAATTGGTGGGTGATGGAAAGGGGCAACAGTATAATACTCCAGAAAAGCTGGTGGGGTTGGGCTGTGACGTTGTGATTGTGGGGAGGGGCATCATTCGCGCAAGTGATCCAAAGGAAGAGGCGGAGAGGTATAGGAGGAAGGCTTGGGAGGCATATGAGAAGAGGGTTAAAGCCTAGAAGTAAAGCTTTCGGTGCGGGGAGGGGGGGAAGTAGAGGGAATACTAGCTAAAGGAATAATATATTCATAGGAAGCACAAGGACGGGATGTCTGTTGATCATGTCGCAACGAGAAGTCATTCTTAGTCTAATCGTCGCTCGTAAAAACGCAGGAGCGTAGCTGCGTAGCGAACGCATACAGTATTGGTAGCAATCTAAGATTTCAGAAGAAGGTTGGAAATATTTCCATTCCATACCATATCGTCCGTTTTTCTTTTCAACTCAACAAGTTTAAGCTAGATGATACCGTCAAAAATGTGTATTTACAGCTGTTCAACTCAACAACCATTACGTTGTTTTGAAATCCTTTCATTCATTCATTCATTCATTCATTCATTCAAATACTTTTCTCTTCTTCTCGTGCTGTGCAATAGGATTGATAAGTTTCTTTCCATTTCATATTATATTATATTATGAGGGTTATGCAGCATGCATATATCACAAAGAGTTTAGCTGTACAGTATAGTATGTATGTAGCCTGTGCTATGCTTCAACCAAATCGATTCATATACTGTAGTATGTAATATATATACTTAGCTGAGCGAGCCGGCGAGCCGGGGGGGAAGGGGTCATGTCTTATGGGTTTGGGTGGAAGTGGAATTGGAAGGCTGGTTTATAGGTATATGTATCTGTATGTTATGTATATATGTATATATATCAGAATACAAAACCACAATACCAAACCTAATCCGACCCAACCCAACCCAACCCAACACAAACCCAAACCCAAATCCAATATCATACGAGTATAAGTATAAGTATAATCGAGGAGCTACGACCAGGAAAAGAAAGAAGATAGAAAAGCTCTCCTCCCGGCTCCTGGGAAAGAAAGAGCTGGGATCTATTTATGTGTTATATGCTATATGCTATATGATCGATGCGTGTAGCTAATCGACCTCATGCTCTTTCATTTCAATCGACCTGAAGGAAGTTTACAGCTGACTGGTTGGCTGACTGGCTGGCTGTATGTGTCATCAGCGCGTAAAGCAACGTGAGAATAGTATAGTAGGGCTTTATATGTAATAAGACAGGGAGGAGTAGGGAGTAGGGAGTAGGAAGTAAGAAGCAGGAAGTAGGAAGGCTTGAAAAGTGATGAGGAAATGACGGGATGAAAGGATGATGGATGATGAAGATGAAGATGGGCTGTATCTTTGTATTTGTGTTTTGATGTATTGGTATGGGGTTATTATTATGCTATGCTATGCTATGCTATGCTCATGCGATACTGGGCTGGGAATGAGTTTCTCGTTATGGGGAGGGAGGGGTCTGGTCTGGTTTGGTAATTTTGTTGTGTGGATTGGATGCTGGATAGGATGGATTTTCTTTTTTCTTCTTCGGGGGATTTTTTGGGTTTGGTTTTGTTGTTGTGTTTGTTATGTTTGTTATTTTATGTTTGATTTGTTTTGATTTGATAAGTAGGGTACATGGTATAGGGCACTGAATACATCAGGTTTCGGTGTGTAGGTGTGGTTATACTCGAGTGCATACCTAGCATTAGTATTAGTCTTTCCAATCACTCATCGGTTGGGCCTATATGCAATGAGAGATATCATAGTCTAGGTAGTGAGCTATTACCCTTGGACTATAGCATAGCGGGCGATTCGTTCCTTGAAAGACATAATCGAGTATAGGGCTAATGTTTGTATCTTCGTAAGTATAAACTATTAATTACAACCATACCTAGAAACTATATGGCCAGTTAATCATACAGCGTGATACGATGTGATGTGATTCCAAAGAACCCCAGTGACATCTACGGTTTATCTCAACAGGACATGTATTCAAAAACTCCATCGGGCACTCTAAACACTCAGTGAAACACTCAGTGAACATTTATTCCTGAACGATCCATGCACAACCAACATTCAATGAATTATCAGAAATAATCTTGATTTCTCTCCGATACCATACATACTCATACAATACTCCCTCCCAGCAGAGCAGTATCAGTATCACCATATGAATCAAAATCTAGCATCACTCCCCACACCCACACCCACACCCACACCCAAGCTCCAGCCTTCTACTCGAGTAGATCTTGATATATATATATATAATCTCTTCGTGTAAAGAAAGAAGAATTTATGGATTAAGTTTGATTCCTTATTTCTTTCTTTCTTGACTGTACCTACACCTGCACTGCATCATTGATGATGAGATGATGAGAGGAGTATCCTGAACAACAAACAGTACAATATGAAGTTCTGAAGTTCTGAAGTTCTGAAGCTCTAAAGCTCTAAAGCTCTAGGAAAGTGTATTTGAGTGCGATGATGATGGTCTTTTGAGCGTGCGTACCGGCAGCCAACATCAACTTATCCAGTAGCCGAGACAGTAGCTGAGATAAACTTATTCGTCATACGCCATCGGCTGAACCGACTAGTGCCCCCCTTCCCCCCTTTTTTTCTCACCAAGTGCTCATCGGAATTTAGCGAATTAGAATCCTCTACGGTAGGCTGTAGCTAGCTGTGTTTGGATTAGGATTCGGGTTTCCTTTCAAGTTCTTATTTATGAGAATATTAAATAAATATTTAATAGTAAATAGTAAATATTAAATAGTACTCGAGTGAATATCAATAAGTAACCTAAGGTAAGGTAAAGTTCTTATTTCCTATAATTGAAAGGAAAAAGGATATTGTATTGTATTATGGTTTGCATTATACGAGTCTGAGTAGGGTTCTTTGTATCTATATCTATTGGGTTTTGATGGATTTTGGATACTTGGATTGGATACTTCATATTTGATAGAAATAGAAGCAAAAGCCAAAGCAAAAATAAGGAGTTTAGGAAATGGGAAATGTCAAGTATTCAATCTCCAATTTTCAATTTCCAAATATACTGGACTCATACTCAATACTAATTATAAAGTCAGTCAGTCAGTCTGCAGGCATCGAACGATACGATACGATACGATACGAAATAAAATAAAACTATAAATTGAATAGAATTATTTTTTGGATTTATGTATATGAATTATGAAATATGGATTATGAATCTGTGAATTTGTGAATTTGTGAGCCAGTAGAGAAATATAAGAAAAGATTCGCTTTTCGATTTCGGAATTCCGAGTTCTGATAGCAGAAGGGAAAGAAAAGGGAAAGAAAAAGGAGGGCAGAAGACTATCTGTCTAGGTATGTTCTAAATATAAATACAAAGTAACTAATTAAATAATTAAATAATATAGCCAGCAGAAATGCGCTGCCAGGCTCTTTTCGTCTCTTTTCGTCTAATTCGTCTTGTCTCGTCTCCTTTGGTACTAAGTAGTACCGGTATATCTATGAAATATGTTTGAGTGTAGTGGATATATAGATAGAGATGTAGATAGGATGAGGATGACAAATGGAGAGGAATATAAATGGAGAGGATGGAGGAGAGGAGAGGAATATAAAGGAGAGATGGAATATGGAGGAGAGATGGACATGGAGAAGTAGATACTGAATGAAATGAAATATTTGCAAGGAGAACAGGAGAACAGGAGACAGGAGACAGGAGACAGGAAGTATTATAGCTTAATTTCAAGACGAGGTGAAATGAGATGAGATGAGATGTAATATGTGTATAGTATACTCGAGTACAGTAGTATAGCTTTACATGTACATGTATATGCTTGGCAGTGTAAATATCACACTATATCATATAGCATCTATATCATCTACAGTACTGTAAATCAGAAAGAGATAATGAGCACTTTGTACGAAGTTGAATGATGAGGATGCAAATTTTGATCGGGCAGTAGATAGATAGTACGATTGCTGATTATGGATTAAAAGCGTAATGCTCTCTAGAATTCGGGTAACATGCTATATTCCCAGATGGATATCAAACCGAGAATCCGAGCATTCCCAATCCAGAGTGAGTATTCTTGCCATAACGCCAGATACCTATCATCTAAGAGTACCACTCTTGTTTGTCGAAAAGCCATGCGTGCGAGAGAGATAAAAATCAAATGATGAAAAGAATGAAAGAAGAAAAAAGTATCATCAGCTCTATTGATGAACCTGGAAAAAAGTAGAAAGAGAGAAGATCAATTAACGCCTAGGGTGCTCCCCACTAGCAGGCTTGCGATCAAGTTTCTTGATAATCGCACCTAGTACAGCCTTCACGATTCCATCCCCAGTCAGTCCTGCTTCGGTATCACGCCCATTCCATGTAACAGTATCAACCATATCTCTAATCTTATACCTGTGCTCCAAAGCATCATCAAGGTCCTCCAATGCTTGTTTCGCCGACGCCACCTTTCCTACTTGGAAGAATTGGATGCCTACTTGTGTGAGTGGTGCGTCGAGTGCATCGAGCTCCTTGGCGACTTTGACGATTTCTGATTCGGGATCATCCGAGGCAGCGCCGTCGGTTATGACGATGAGATTTAATGGTTTGACATCTCGACCTGCTTTCATTTCTTTCTTGAGTCGCTTCATGTAAGGAGAAAGGATATCTCTGATGCGCCGGCCGGTGGGAGTTAGACCCTTCGGTTCGTCTACCATACTCCATACTTCTTCAACTTTAGCTGCATCTTGAATGCCGTAGTAGCCGGTGGGGGCAACGCCTTCGTTCTCATTACCCTTGTTGTTACTTTTGTGATTCATGAAGTAAACATCAATTCCATCAGCGTCATAGGCAGTAATGATGGGTGCTATGGTTTGGAGAGCTAGAAAGACTTGTTGCCAAGCCGTAGGCTCAGCATCCCATCCCATGCTAGTAGAATCATCGATTAGAAGGATGGTATCGAATGTGGAGAGGAGAGCATATGGTGATGAGTCGAGGTCATGTGGTGGAACATTTTCAGTAGTCTGGGGGACTGTAGAAGTGTGGCGGAATGTAAAAGTGCTGCTGTAGGATGTAGGAGAAGTGTGAGATGTAGAAGCAGTGTTGTATGTTGTAGGAGAATTATTGTAAGACGTAGAAGGATTTTTGTACGACGTAGAAGATGTAGAGGTATACGCTGGTGGAGGCGCATTATCTGGGAAGTTCTTCTGCTGTGTAGAGGAGATTGAACTACCGGTTTTCGATGCAGTGCTTGTAGAACGACTTATTTTATCGCGAATGCTACCAAACAAGCCGCTTCTACGTTTTGGGCCTTTACCATCGTTATGAGAGTTGAAGGACATGATGAGTTTGTTGGATGTATCGAGACTGGAGCTGTGTATGTATAGAATAGGAAGGTGGGGTGTAGATGGTGGGGTGTAGGTATGTAAGATTAAGATCTTGTAGGGCTGGAGAACTTTATAAACATATGTTTGGGGGTAGGTAACTTATGACTGGTTATTGTTCCTGTTGCTTTTTCTCTATGATTGGTTTTTGATATATGAATGAATCACCTAGGCCAGTAGTAGGTACTTATATTCCTGTATTGATCATATAAAATTGGCGCCATGACAACCAATGAGTTAGACCTCAATTATGCCCAAGGCGAAGCAAAGCTTCTGACACATGAATGAATTCTATGAGTTACTAGTGTTATTAGTTATCCGATAGATCTGAAATCATATTGTTACAGAGTTTTGAGGTTGAGACTGTTGACTCAAGTATTGATTGAGTAAAGGCGAATGAATTTGATGTGTATGAATGAGAAATGTTTGAAATGAAGTCGGATATAAGTTTGAAGTTAGAGCGATATCATTGGTTAAACCAAGAGGCTTGGCGTCTATAAAGAAAGGCGCAGTTGACTTCGCCAATGTTATACTTTTGATTTTTCATTATTTGATCGATTTTGGGTTTAGGCAAATGGTACAAGGCTGTGTACACCCCGATACGATGAGGAAGATGCTTGTTGCCGATCAAGCGATCCAAACAATCGCATACCCGCTCAACCTCTCCTTATATGTCCCGAGCCGCCGGATGGGTACATATTCGCATGTTTTCCCCGCGATATTTGAATCCGTGTGATAGGATGCAGGGACATCACAAGGAAGGCTTAAAGGCCAACATGTTATGCACTGCGACCAGGCTCAAAATGAAGCATTCCTACCGCCAGGTCTGTCATACCATGCATCATCATAATCTTGTCTCAAGGATGTTGGATATTTCCTTTGCGGAGATTGAAGTAAGATTGTTAGGCAGAGAAGGCTGCAAACAGCCTTCATATCCCACTTCACCGTCAGCGTTCAGAAATGAAAGTAAGATATCATCGTTTTCTGTTAGTTACTGGGCGACTCTCCAAATTTCCTGATTGCACAGAGACTGACCTGACATATAGAGCCTCAATAGTTGATCGGGGGTGAGAACTGACCGAACACATGTGGCTGAAGTGGCATTGATAGATGGCTCATAGTTGGGCACCATATGTCAGATTTTATCTAGTCAAATCGACAAGGCTAGATATTTCGCCGTTAGCCAGAGTAAGTCATCATGTTTTTCAAGGTGAGAAATTTGCAGGCGAGGGCATCGTACACATCAAGTGCTGTAGATCTGAAAACATATAGACAAAATCTCTTGCAGGTGATGTTGGTAAACGAGTCTTGAGTGGTGAAGTTGGGCAGGTTTGACATGATTCTTAGATTCATTTTCATTCGCCTGCGGAATCATGAGGGAGTTCGCAAGGGAAATCCAGGGGCCAGAGGTGGGTAATTAAGTCCTGGCGTCTACTCTATACCAACATCAATTTGAAGGGTTTCCAGTATCGAGATATATTACCACCCGATGTGATGGCAGGGGTGGCTAAGTTCAAGGCGGCAAGTTTGGTCGATAGGTTAATGATATGGAGAGGTCTTGATGCAAATTAGTTGTTAGGTGATGACATGGTCTTAATGCAAATGAAATAATGATATGGAGGTCTCGATTTAAGTTGGTGGCTAGGTAATGATATGGAGAGAAGTCTTGATGCAAATTGGTTGCTAGGTAATGATATAGAGAGGTCTTGATGTAGATGTATTGTTTGATAAGATGAACAGATTAGATAATGACTGATGTCTGATGTCTGCGTCCGGAGAATCTAGACTTCTAAGTTTCATACAATACATCTTTCATTCTACCTTTTCATTTTGGTTGCCCTTCACAACCACTTCTTCATTTATCTGGCAGGTACCGGTATTGTTGCCAGACTTGTAGTGAAAACATCAAGTTGATTACGGCGTGATACTTGTTGGAGTTTCACCTGTTTTGACTAAAATGAATACGAGTAATTTACAAAGCATGGAGAGAATTAGAATTATCAAGAAGTATTATGAATTCACTCATCCTTTTCGATGGAAAGGAAAAGAAAGGAAGATGACTGACCTTAAGACTAGCGACGTCATTTGAGTAGGCAGGCGGTAGAAGGCGGTAGAAAAAGAATTATGATTGTTTTTGTTTATGAGGGGCAATAAATAGAAATTAAAGGCAGAATCGAAAGAAGTACAAAATATATAATGAATGTAATTAAACCTATTAGGTATATTATTACACTCATTAAAATAATGATAATCAATTGGATACCTATCTATCTAGAATAAATAAAATCTATAGGATTCTTTATAACTCTATTCATATTATTACAGAAAGAAGTGGTGAATTCGAGAGATCTCTACCGCCTTCTAGTTCGGTCTAATCCCACCCGCTTGTGGAAAAGAAGATTCCAGAATCGAACCTGCTGGAATCGAACTTTTCGCTTTAAAAGTCTCACACTTCAACCCCAAACTTTTTTCCTATTCTGCATACTACTCTTCTTCTCTTTTCAATCACACAAACTGATCAAAGAAGTTACGATACTTCGATTTACAAAAAAACCTTTATACACATAACATTTAGATTAATACATCATGGCTCCAGCGTAAGTTAACTCCCTTATTATCATTATCATCATCAACCCCTCCTTCTATTCAGCCTTATCGTTCCCACCCCCTCAAAAGTTCTGTTGAACAATAACAATTTGCTAACAATTTCTCTTAGTATTGGTATTGATTTGGGTACCACCTACTCTTGTGTAGGTATCTACCGAGATGATAGAATCGAAATTATCGCCAACGACCAAGGAAACCGTACCACACCTTCCTTCGTCGCTTTCACAGACACCGAGCGTCTCATCGGAGATGCCGCCAAGAATCAAGTCGCCATGAACCCAATCAACACTGTCTTCGATGCTAAGCGTTTGATCGGTCGCAAGTTCGCAGATGCTGAGGTCCAAGCCGACATGAAGCACTTCCCATTCAAGATCATTGACCGTGCCGGAAAGCCAGTCATCGAGGTCGAGTTCAAGGGCGAGAACAAGCAATTCACACCAGAAGAAATCTCTTCTATGATCTTGGTCAAGATGAGAGAGACCGCTGAGGCATACCTCGGTTGCACTGTCAACAACGCTGTTGTCACAGTCCCAGCTTACTTTACTGATTCTCAACGTCAAGCTACCAAGGACGCTGGTCTCATTGCTGGTCTCAATGTCCTCCGTATCATCAACGAGCCTACCGCAGCTGCCATTGCTTACGGTTTGGACAAGAAGATTGAGGGTGAGCGTAACGTTCTCATCTTCGATCTTGGTGGAGGAACCTTCGATGTCTCTCTCTTGACCATCGAGGAGGGTATCTTCGAAGTCAAGTCCACCGCTGGTGACACTCACTTGGGTGGTGAGGATTTCGACAACCGTCTCGTCAACCATTTTGTTACTGAATTCAAACGCAAGCACCACAAGGATCTCAGCGCCAACGCTCGTGCTCTTCGTCGTCTCCGCACTGCTTGCGAGCGTGCTAAGCGTACCCTCTCTTCCTCCGCTCAAACTTCCATTGAGATCGATTCTCTCTTCGAGGGTATTGATTTCTACACCTCCATCACCCGTGCTCGTTTCGAGGAACTCTGCCAGGACCTCTTCCGTTCCACCACCACCCCAGTCGACCGTGTCCTCGCTGATGCCAAGATTGACAAATCCAGAGTCCACGAGATTGTTCTCGTTGGTGGTTCTACCCGTATCCCACGTATCCAGAAGCTCATCACCGATTACTTCAACGGTAAGGAGCCAAACAAGTCCATCAACCCTGATGAGGCTGTTGCATACGGTGCTGCCGTCCAGGCTGCCATTCTCTCTGGTGACACTTCCTCCAAGTCCACCAACGAGATCCTCCTTCTCGATGTCGCGCCATTGTCTCTCGGTATCGAGACTGCTGGTGGACAAATGACCAAGCTCATTCCAAGAAACACCACCATCCCAACCAAGAAGTCCGAGGTCTTCTCCACCTTCTCCGACAACCAACCAGGTGTTCTCATCCAAGTTTTCGAGGGTGAACGTCAACGCACCAAGGACAACAACCTTTTGGGCAAATTCGAGCTCACTGGTATCCCACCTGCACCACGTGGTGTTCCTCAAATTGAGGTCACCTTCGATCTTGATGCCAACGGAATCATGAACGTCTCTGCTCTCGAGAAGGGAACCGGAAAGTCCAACAAGATCGTCATCACCAACGACAAGGGTCGCTTGTCCAAGGAGGATATCGAGCGCATGTTGGCTGAGGCCGAAAAGTACAAGGCCGAGGATGAGGCTGAGGCCGAACGTGTCGCTGCCAAGAACGCTCTTGAGGGCAAGGCATACCAAATCAGAAGCTCGTTGTCTGAGGCTGACCACGAGCTCTCCAAATCCATCCAAGACCCTGCTGCCAAGGCAGAGTTGCAAGCCGCCGTTGACAAGATCGTCGCTTGGGTTGATGAGAACCAAACCGCTACCAAGGAGGAGTACTCGCAACAAGAGGCTGATCTTGAGGCTGCCATCAAGAAGGCTACCTCTGGTGCTGGTGGAGCTGCCGGAGAGCCAGCTCAAGATGCTGAGATCGAGGAGGTCGACTAAATGTTTTCTTTTTTTTCTCTGACGAATTTCCTTTATTCTGCATATGATAACACTTCTCCACTGTGATCTTCATCACACGATGGTAATTAGGTGTTTACTGGGTTTTCTATTGTGGTTAGATTTGCAGTTTTCGTGTCTACACTGGAAAAGCCGGTGTTTTCGATGTATTACAGCTTGCTCTTTTAATTAGGTGCACAAAATTTAAAAACTTAAAAATAACATTTGCTTTTTAATGCAAACTGAAATGTGATTGTGATGTTCTACTACTCCACTACCTACTGTACCAAAAAAAATAAAGAATGAATATTATCTGAAAATTACCCTCTCCAACCCAATAGAAACAATCAATCATCCTTCGTTACAGCAGGGTCGGTACCTACCCAATCATTGGCCTAGAAATTATAAGGGTCTCCTTAGGGAAAGGAAGCAAGATGGGCCAGCCGATCTCAGTGTGAAATATCATAGCACCAGTCTTCTAGATATTGAACAATTTTACTAAGCTTTTCTTCTTTCTACTGTACAAACAGATAGATAGGTAGATATATATACTAGGTAGTACTTGTAGTCTCATTAGGAGGAGTAGGAGTAAATTCATAATCGATTTGATCTACCTACTAAAATGGGAGGTATGGCAGGTATGGGTTTGGAATTCCTGACTTGGTAGGTAGGTAGGTACCTACAAGTACCGGTACCGGTATTGCGGTACCAATACAAGGTACCTAGACAGAGTATGCAATATGCAATGTGCGTTGTGCGATATGCGAAAGTAATATCTATCTATCAAGGTAATAAATAGGTACTCAAATTGAGGAATATACTCTTTTTCTACTTATCAAATTAGGGATTGGTGATTAAAAAGAATGGATGAAATGGAAAATGATAAATTAAGTTGATTGAAGTTATCGATGGTTACTATATACTTATTTTTAACCCCTTATCTATAATTATTGATATACGAGCGAGTATATTAAATGATTAAATGGAGAATGGAAGGATACAAATGCCCTGGTTAATAAGGCTATCTAGTAGGTACTAGGTATAGACAACTACGTACCTATATACCTACGTACCTACCTACCCTTATACGAGTATAGGTACTCTCGAGTACTTCTAGAAATGAATAACGACGATCAGATACCGGTATAGTATAATTCTAGAACATGTCTATCTATTCTAAAACTCTACCCATAACCAAAAATGAACAACAACTCAAGCTTTAAAGGCCCCCCTTGTTAATACGCCATAATCCTTACCTTTCATTACTAAAGCCCCATGCCTTGAAGAAAAAGAAGAAAAACAAACGAAGCCTACCGTACCGTACAGTTGTAGACCCCCACCACCTACACTACAGTCTTACATCTTACACCCGCCAGATCATCCATTTTCCCATCCATCCAAGACTTCATCCCAAAACGAACCGAGCTAAAAGTATTCTACACCTCTCTGGTACCTGACTTCCACCAATCACTTCTCTTTTACGGACTGGGGACCCAATCCCCTCTTCCACACAGCCAAGGTATCTACCCCCGCTATCAGAACCTAGCTTCGATGTTCTAGGAAACAGCGTGGAAGGGGCCCTAACTCCATATTCCCACTCCTCTTACCGTTCCGTGGCGATTACTGCGAGTGTGGTCTCACGCTTGTAACCCTTCTACCCATTCAGATCCTGATATCGATTTCCCCTGCTTCGTGCACAATAAATTCAGTTAAAACTACCTACCGGTTGCATTTACACCTCTGTTCCTTTCTGACCCACACCCTTCGAGAGACCCTATCATACCTTTAGCGGATACAAGAACTCTTCCGGTAGGCAGTCGATAATGTCAATCAAGTAAGTAAATTCGTCGTCCCTTGTGGTTTCTGCAGTGCAAGTATTTCATTGCCGTCTCTTCTCCCTTCCCTTCCCTTCTTTCCCCTCAATTTTTTTAATACTTTTTCTCCTTTTCTGGTGTTTTTACCTCAATTTTATCAATCATGTATGCTTTTCACCAAGAACAGCATCTTTTCGCTTTGCATATGGCACAAGAAGCAATGCTAAAATCTGCCCGCGAAAAAAGTTGGGTAATGACCTCTAATGAGGCTGGATTTGTCAAACTTCCCAATGAGCGAATTCTCTACACCTCACCTCCTCGAACGAGTTTACAGATCTCTACGACGACTACACCTGCGGGCGCAGAGCCATACGCAGCGCGAAGCGAATCTGGGGTTGTATATATTAGCAATCAACGAGTAGGTGCACGTTTTTCTCTCGTATTTGTAAACACTATTTGCTGATTTCCCATTGAAGATAGTCTACCTCCCGAGTTCACCCACTCCAGAGCTTCAATCGTTTTCTTCGCCGATTCTTAACCTGCAAGATAGCTTCGTTCGTGCGCCGTTCTTCGGCGCCAATTACTGGACTGCTCTCTGCAAGCCAGTCTCGGGAGGTGGAATTCCCCCAGACTATCCTTCGGTCGAGCTTAAGATGACTTTCAGAGAAGGCGGGGCCTTTGATTTTCATTCTTGCCTGGAACAGATTAAGGAGCGTCTATACCAAGCCTATAGTATCGCACGGGAACATGGGGGAAGGGGAACGAGTGGTGTTGATTTGGTGAACATAGATCTAGAGCAATTACCTGCGTATGAGCCTGCGCGGGAGGTTACAGATGAAGCACATGCTGTAGCTCAACATAGCGGGGTAGCAAGCACTCCCACTGGAAACACACCACGGCCCGAGACCTTTTCGGCGCCAGCTGAACCCCCTCCAGATTACGAAGAAGCACAAGCACAAGCAGTTTCGGTGGATTTGGATCAGCGATTACGAGAGCAAGCCGAGAGGCAATGAGAGGCAGTAAGCGACATATACAGCATGATGTGTTACATCTGGTTTGTTACAACGGGTATTACGAAGTCATGAATGAATGAATGTTGGAAGGGGTGGGAAATATCTGGAGGGGAAAGGCGTTCTTCTATCACAAACATACATATGAGACATGGTATTGGTCTATGATGATAAATGAGGTATAAAGCAGCACTTGCCATGGCGTTCGAGATGTTGATGGTAGATTACTTCAAGATGATATTGATGTCAAAGAAGGTCTAAAATAGCTATTTATCATGAGAAATGATTGAGAAATGAGAAACAATTCCTGTTAATAAACAGATTATGTGCAGTAAAACGTTTATCGAGCACATGTAATTTTGAGATTTTGTGAGATAATGATAGAGTTTTTGGGTTGCATTTGGGGATTGGATCGAACTTGGTTGTCGGAAAAACCAGGAACCAAAACCCGTCGGACCAATCAAATTTGACCAATTGTAACTGAGGCCTCAATTTTGGCGAGTATCATTTCTCATCCGACACGCGGGATTTCGACAGTATCTGATAACCAATTTACCACCCAGACCACAAACGCACTCAACATTATACAATTGATTCGATCTCCTGAAATCGATTGTTCAAGATGGGTTTTTTCAACAGCTGGAGCGATCTTGTATCGGCCGCCACCCCATGGAGTCAGGCTGAGGCGGAGTCGGTCTCCGGAGGGTCGAGTACGGAGAAGACTCCTGCGATGAAGGATGATGGAGGTGAGGGGGAGGTGAAGGTATGTTTGTTTTTGTTTTTGTATTTTTGTTTTGTGTTTGATTGAGAGGCGGTTTTGGAGTGATCGGGGGTTTTGGAGTGGACAAACATATACGGGAAGGAGGGGAGGTGAATGAGGAGAGTTCTTGGATATGTGCGGGGGGGGGGGTTGGATTCATTTGGATGGGTGGAGAATGCGTGCATGATATCAGTCAAACTTGTCTTGCATATGTGCTGACCTGAGACTGTGTTTAGGATCCATCCGGAGCCACTCCAGAGAAGAGGGCGGCCCAGGACGCTAAGGATGATGCATCTAAGGAAAGTACGGAGCCTGTGGTGGAAGAAAAAGAGGAAGAAGAAGAGGAAGAAGAGGAAGACGAAGAGGAGATGGTGGATCCAAAAGACAAATTTGAGGATGGTGAGTTGTTATATTTCTACGCTGTATTAGATGCTGGGCACAACAGGAGGGAACTCGCAAGAACTGCAAATAATGTGGGGACCTTGAAGCTTTCCTGGAGCTGCTTCAAAGTCTACCGCCACTTGATTGTGAGGATAAAGGCTAATCTTTCACAGAATGCAAGGAATCGGCAGCTTGTGCTCCTTCTAAGCACCATTATGATGAGTGTATCGAGCGAGTTACAGGTGGCAAGGAGCAACACCCAGGCGAGGACTGTGTTGAAGAGTGTATGTACCATCCATTCTACCCACACCAGCATATATATCTAGCTACTAATCCACACCCTCTCCAGTCTTCCATCTCGCACACTGCGTAACCGCATGCGCAGCTCCAAAGCTTTGGAACACTCTTAAGTAAAGCAAACCCGTTACAAGTTTTACTACATCCAGCATACGGAATTACGCACAATTACCTGGACACGACAACATGACTCAACTTTTTAGATGAATGTGGAGGGGAGAGGGGTTGGGGAGGAGTAGAGTGGAATGGAATGGAGTGGAAGGATGTCGGGATTGTACAAATATGGATATGGAAACTAAAATCCGTTCTTGAAGCATTGCATACAGATCAGATCTCCATTTTTTTCATCGAGCGCACGCACTGCATGTAGTATAGAAAAGACAATCGATATTAGAAAAAATGCTTTGTTTCTCTCTATCTATCTATTGAATCGCCATTTTTTTGATCCTCGAATTGTGTCGTCTACTTGTATTTGTGCTGGTTACATACAAATCACATCTGAAACTCTTTACTTTATCATTTCCGCCTTTCCAGTCGAGTTGGGTTGAGTTGAGTTACAGAAGTTACATAGGTACAATCACAAGCAAAATATATTGTATACATATACCTAGGTACACCGCCGCCATTCATCCCCATGTATCTTTGCAGATTCGGAATTTGTATATGTATATCATCTCACCCTATTCCAATCACAACCTCACAACCCTGTCCGTCCCATCTCGCACTATGAGACATGAGATATACTAGGTAGGTAGGCACCTTATCTTTTGGTCTGATTAGAGAGAGAGGAGGGGGGGGGGGGTGGAAATTGGAATGGGAATGGGAATGGGAATAAAATGGAATTTTGCTGGCTGGCTGGCTGGCTGGTTGGTGTGTTTGGGTCATTGATTGGTAATGCTGATTGGATGTTTGTGATGTGATATGTGATATGTGATATGTGATATGTGATATGTGATATGTGATATGTGATATGATATGGGATGATATGGGATGGAATGGGTGAGACAAGACAAGACAAGAGTAATAACAGTAACCTTGGGTATTGAAAGAAACCGAGGGGACGGGGAGACAGACCCCTCTTTAGCTATAGTTAGCTTGGCAATAGATAATAAGCAAGTAAATCTTCTTCTTTTAGATCATGTTGTGTATCTTGAAATGAAATGAAGTATATCTACTATGTTATTTTGAATTTGAGAAAGAGCGGAATTTTAAGGGAGGGAAATCGAGATCTGGGATTGGATTGGAATGGATTGGATTGGAACTTGGACTGGATTAATTAGGAAGTGCTTGCTTCCCCACACAGGGAAAGTGACATAACGGACGTTTCTAGCGCGGGTAAGTGCGGGCCGGGCGAAAGAAGCTTATCGAAGATATGTCCGTGTCGACATGTTTGAATAATGATGCGAATGGATTAGAGGAAGGGGAAAGGGAAAGGGAAAAAGAAAAGGAAAAGAAATCGGATAGGGATAGGGATAGGGATAAGGATAAGGATAAGGATCAAAAGATTGAATATAAAGGAGATAGTGAGGAGAGTATTGAGGTGGAATATACCGAGGGTTTGGGGAAGGAGTTAGAGAAAGACGGAGCGCTAGTTTCGGAAAAAGAAGAGGAGGGCGCGAGGACGGGAGATACTGAAATTGAGAGGGAGGATAAGGATAGAAGTACGGAGAAGGAAGCGCATCATCACCACGGTTTGCCAAAGGGCTGGACGGCCATGAAAGAATTAAAAGGGAAGCAGAAGCGGAAGCAGAAGCGGGAACAGAAACATAAGGCTGGGGAGAGGGCGAGTGGAAATACTCATACACATACACATACGCATACGGATAATACGAATGCCGACAGATTGAAAGCACAGTCGAGTGGTGGTGAGGGTATGGTGGAGGATGAAACCGAGGATCTAGACGATTTGGATCTGACAGAATTGAATAGCGGGGATGATTTACTACCAGATGAGGAAGAGGGTGGTGTAAGGAGGTGCGGAGCTGGAGCGCATATTACGAATAGAGCAGCAGAGAGAGGGGGCACGGATCCCAATGGCATTGCGACTTCGAGTGGGGAACACTTTAAGGTTTATAAACGGAGGTGGTTTGGATTGGTACAATTGGTTCTGTTGAACATTATTGTTAGTTGGGATGTAAGTATTGCTAGGCAATTTCATCCTGTGTCAGCACATGTTTGTCGAGATCTACGGGAGGCTCATCGTTCGATGTATGGTACTATTATTGAAGACGTGCTAATATGTATTCATTCAGTGGTTAACCTTTTCTGCAAGTTCGACGACTGCCTCCCAGTATTACAATGTATCCGAATCAGCAATTAATTGGCTGAGCACTGGCTTCCTCTTCGCATTTGTGGTGGCTAGTCCCTTTGTCATCTACGTCTTACACCACGGGGGACCTAAACCTGCGATTCTCATTGCTTCCGTGCTTTTACTACTGGGGAATTGGATTCGATATGGTGCTACAAGATCTGGTCCGCATGGCAACTTTGGAGGAGTCATGTTTGGACAGATTTTGACGGGTATCGCTCAACCGTTTGTACTGGCGGCGCCAACTAGATACTCGGATTTGTGGTTCTCAAATAGGGGCAGAGTGGCTGCGACTGCGGTTATGAGTTTGGCTAATCCCTTTGGGGGTGCGCTGGCTCAATTGATCGATCCTTCTTGGGCTGGGAGTCTGGGGAATATACCTAATATGGTTCTGTACATTGCAATTATTGTAAGTCTCCAAAGCCATTATCATGTTAGCGATGCTAATACGATCAAACAGTCCTCCGCAGCTACCATTCCTTCCTTCTTCATTCCAAAGGAGCCACCGACCCCCTGCTCCGCATCTTCAGGAGAACCAAAACATGCACTAGGTCCCTCGATTCGCTTCCTCCTCAGATCACCCGAATTCTATATGATTATGCTCCCATTCTGGTTCTACGTGGCCCTCTTCAACAGTATCTCCTCCCTCATCAACCAAATCCTCTCCCCCTACTCCTTCACCGAGACCAACGCCGGTATCGCAGGCGCTCTCCTCATAGTCGTTGGTCTCGTCGCCGCAGCCATCACCTCCCCCCTCATCGACAAAACCAAAACCTACCTCCTCGCCATCAAAATCCAAATCCCCATCCTAGGCATCTGCTACCTAGCTTTTACCTGGGCCCCCCAAACCAGAAGCCTCGCAGCTATCTACGCCATCCTCTCGATTCTCGGCGCCGCTTCTTTTAGTCTCGTCCCTGTTGCCCTCGAATACCTGATTGAGATTACACATCCGGTTTCCCCAGAAGTTACAAGCACGATTTGTTGGTCTGGAGGCCAGTTGCTGGGGGGTATCTTTATCATTGCAAGTGATGCGTTAAGGGCAAAGGGTGTCTCGGATGGATCGCATGATGATGGGAGTACGAGACCGCCGGGGCATATGTATAATGCGCTGGTCTTTCAAGCGGTCCTGGCGTTAGTGGTGATTCCGCTGCCGTTGGCATTGGGGTGTTGTGGAAGGAGAAGTGGGGTCAGAATGAGGAGGTTGGAGGCGGATACGGAGGCTAGTGAGAGGCATAGTAGAGGATTTACGGAGGGTGGAGACGCGAGTGAAGGAAGAGGAGTACTGGGTTGATTTTGGGGGGTCTTGTTCTTGTTCTGGCTCATGCTTTCTTTTGAGGGCGGGAGAGTAGCAAGCTGAGTTACGGTTGTTTAGTTATTAAGTTTTTTTTGGGGGGGAGGGGGGGTTTTTGCTCAATACCATTCTTATACATACTACCAAACCATTATATCCTGATATTCCTCCTCCACATACCAAATTCCAAAATCTGATTAATCTAGTTCCCAAATAATTCTATAGTGGAGAGTTATGGCATTCACTCTAGGTACAGTATTCTTTCTTGTGTTTCTCTTCTGTTACGGGTGTTGGTTGGTGCCAGTGGGTGTTTCTTACTGTTTTTTTTTTTTTTTGTACAGTACGAGTACTAGTGCTAGTGCTAGTGCTAGTGCAGAGTTGGGAACACTGTACGAGTACACATTGCATAGTTTTGCATGTTTTTGGTTGTGGTTGTGGTGTCGTGTGTGTGGTATCTATTCAAAGTTGACAAGAATCTTGAGAATCTTGAGAAGTTTTTTGGGGGGCTGGTTTGGGGGGCTGGTTTTCTTTTTCTTTCTTCTGGGGGGAAAGGGGAAAGGGGGAAAAAGAAGAAAGTTGACTCGGCATACTTTATGGATGTGTATGCGGTGGGGGGAGGGGCATTTTTTTTTTTGGTATATGAATAGGATGGGTTGAAGCATCGAAGATAAATACAGTCCTTTTACGAGTGTTAGGTTTATGATTCTTGAGACTTTGAGCATGAAGGTAGTAAGTAGACTTTCGAGTCTCCTTTGTTTGTATGGTTGGTGTGTGGGATGGATGGATGGGGACGGAGGAGTTTATGGGGTTTGGTTTGTTTGTTGGATTGTGGCTATGATTGGTATTTGTAGTGTGGGAAAGGGGAAGGGAGAAGGGAGAAGGGGGGATGGGAAAGGGGGTAGGGGTAAGGGTGGGGGTTGAGGTTTGTGTATAGTGTTGGTTGGGGGTTAGATGGAAGTGTGAGTGGGTTATGTAATGTAATGTGATGGGTATGGAAAGTTAGATATAGGTGTAGGTGTGCATGTAGATATGGAGATGGAGGTGGAGGTGGAGGTGAATAATGTAAGTGAGGGTTGGTTTTGGGTAAGATATGGGATTAGGGAGTGCAGAATAGGATGTGGGATATAGGGTGGAGGTTGAGATGGAGATGGAGATGGAAATGGAGAATTATATAGGACGAGAGGGATAGAAATATGGACATAGAGGTAGTCGGAGGATGAGATCGGTTGTAACCTAAGGAAAAATAAATAGAATAGATCTATATTTGACGTCTGTGTAGGAAGGAATATGAGGTTGGCTGGTTTTGTACAGAATGGATGAGAGGAATAAGGGTAAGTGGTAAGTATCACTACAAAAGAAAAGAGGGAAGGATATCATATTTGCGTGTAGTAGCAGAATATTCATCATGACTACTCTGTATCATAACCATTCTGTACATAATGTATCAAATGCGTATATCATAGAGTCCCAAATCATAAAAACATCGCTTTTTTTAGTTTTATATCTGGCCCTATCAAATATACATACCACATGTACATGATGTACATATACATCTCCATCCCGACTTTTCGCGTTCCTTTATTCACTTGTTATCTTTCTTAGATATCTGAACTTCTGAACTTCTGAAGTATATCCTAAAACCCCCGAAACACATAAGATCGTATGATCTTGCGGTGTTACGAGTTACGATGTATATTCACTTTTTATACTTGCTCACTTATAAGTTATTTCCCTCATATTCTTCATATCAATTAGTAGCCGCAGCCACACACGGTAAACCCGCTGCAATCCGCAGTAAGAATGTTCGATCTTAAGAGTCAAGAGTGGCTTATAATGACACGATGACCCGGAAATCAGATGAAAAGAGGAGGAGTTTTGCCGAGACTGGCCGCTGGAAGGAAGGACTTAGATCATGTTACATTCACTATTTATGTGATGCCAAACTTGGATGTGGGAATGATGGATGGTGGGAAGATAAAAGAAAAGGAGATGGGCCAAGGACAAAGATGATGAGTTGATAAGAGAGTAGTAGTATATGTACTCGAGTACATACATATATTAGCTATTAGCCAGGTTCATCACAGCATCTCACATTCATATACATCGCATACACGTCACAACACCTCACATTCAAAAACATTAGGTACATGCACATCAGCACATCACACTTCAAGATGAATAAAAAGTAAATGTATTTCCTCTCTGCAAAGATGCTATCTAAGCCTTGCCCCATATGCCTGCCTACCTGCTTCCTTCTTTAAACTGAGACGTTCGAACGCGCTCAAAATTGTCAACACAAGAAAGTAACAAACGTGCCTTTGAAGAAGACATAGCAGAAAACCCGTAGAAGAAGAAATCATGAAACTTTTTCTGTGTATTTAAATATGTAACCCGCTATCCGCAATTCCTACGCCTAGCAAATACTAGATAGGATCGAAAAGGAAACCAGTCGAGAAAATTAGTGTTGTCCATCACCGCGTATCTGAAGATCTTCAAGTATACCCTTTGGAAGGAAGTTACTTGTGGAAAAATCAGATTAGAAAACAGAAAGATTCGAAGAGGAGGTTTAGGTTTCGTCCAGAGCATGAAGAGATGGGTAATGGGTAAAAAAAAAAGGAGAATGCGAGAAAGAAGCATGTCGTCCATATCCAGAGGTGTACCAAGATCCCATATCGTTGAAGACAAAGGATATATGCCGAGTAGCGAGGCAAATCATGTCGTATTGTATGAGAAAGAAGGACATGTTATGGAAAGAGGGAAGAAGCTTCGTCGTATCCAGACTCCAGAGTAGATAATCATCGCGTCACGAAGATGGAAGAACCAAATGTGTGCGCGAGGAGAATAAAGGCGTTTGTAAAGGAAACTGTTGTACAAATGGAAACTTTTGTCGAATAGTCATCGGAAGGGTAGACTGTGGAAGCTTCGATAATAGAGGGTAGGGTATGTTGAACGCCGGATGAAAGTCGAGATCGAATGAATTGAATGCGTACCAAAGAAAGTGAAGACGAGACCGATTTTTTTTGGTGTAGTTTAGATGTTATCGGAAGCCAAAGAAGCTCCAGAGATAATTTGGCGAGAAAGTGTAAATGTCAAGGGATGCCCTTCCCACAAGAGTCATGCAAATCCTAAGAAATGACAGTGAAGAGCAGGGTGATGGAACTTTCGGAAGAAAGAATAGACCAGTAGTAGCTAAGTAAAGTATCGTACGCTCATTGAAATATCCTGAATAGACGATGTTGACAGTGGCTCATCAGTTCGGACCAGAATGATGGAAGTTGGAAAAGATGGCGATCTATGTGCGAGAAATATTTGCGTAGTACCGTACGTAGACCATTTAAGTCATAAGAAGAACGTTCGCCTTGTGAAGGTTCTTGGCGATGATGGTGATGGAATTGTCATCACGCATGGTGATAGAAGGTGTCATAACCAACTTAAGGCGCTTTTGCTTGGTCTGCAATTGGTATGGATTGTCCTTTGGATGATCCTTTGCAATCATGGTGCCAGCGGTGAACTTGGTACCAAGAAGCTCCGGGAAAACAATCTGGAAGCTCAACTTAGCGGTCCACATCTTTGCACCGAGCTCCATGGAGGAAATGATCATGACACCAAGATCGCCACCAGCCTTTGTACGGGAGCAACCCTTGTTCATCAACGGACCGAGCATGTCGCGAAGAGCCTTGGTGTGGTAGACAAGAGAATCATTGCGAAATGCAATGTAGTCTGGTGAGTTGATGACCGACTTGATGAGTGCGGATTGCTCAGCAACAAGCTCTTGACGCTTTTCGGCAGATGGAACTGACAATAACATATTAGTAACTTGTAATAAAGCAGGCGAGGAATGAGGAATACTTACTAGGCTTAGATGCAAGACGCTCCTTGATGCTGGCCAAATGATCATGAACACCGTGGTTGTATTTTTGAAAGGCGCTGATGCTCATAATTTGATTGAAGCAGTACTCAAGAGCCATTCTCATGACGAACCAGTAGCGGGTATTCTCATTGCCCAAGAGAGCCATGACATGACTATGAGCACTCTGAGGATCCTTGTAGGTGACGCTCATCATGTAATGCCAGAGGTTTTGATTTGTGCTGGCAATTGTACGATCTCCAGCAAGATTGGGAATGCATGCATACTCGCGACACCAGCCTTCCATGGAACCAAAAATCTTGGCGAAATCATTGGTGAAATTGATACTCATGTCTTGGACATTGTCGGGTTGGCTCTTGTATGGTACAAGAGGCAAGCGAGAACGACGGTGGTTGACAACGGTTTCAGTCTCGCTATTCATATGGTCGCGCAAGTTGAGGATGGATGGAACACTCTCCAGAGCACTATCGGGAACTGCGACGGTAACGGATGCCTTGACACGATTGTACTCCTCTTGGGTAGGGGATATTTGATCTCCGACGGCAGCATTCTCCATTGCGGCCAACGAAGCTCTTGAGAGACGTGCCATGGATGTCTTGCCATTGCTGCGATAACCTGAATTGTTGACCGAAGGAGCAGATTCCAATTGAAATTGCGAACGACTGCTACCTCCTGGAAGAATTGAGGGATAAGCGTTCACGGCGGCTCTCTGTTGCGAAGCTGGTGGATGTGACGCGAGCCAAAGGATTCTCTTTCCGTTCAGTTGGTTCTCCTTGACTTGTAACTCCTCGCGCTGCTGAGCGATAATAGCAAGCAACTCGGAACGGGATTGATCAGAAGAACCGCTTGAAGCATTTTGAAGTTGACGTTCAAGATGTCGGATTTGATTTTTCCATTTCTCTTCGTGTTCAGTGAAAAACACATGCTGAGCAATGAAATCAACAATAAAGTTGTGCAACTCGTTGCTGACGTCCTCTTGAACGTGTGGTGGGATGGCCGATGTCTCTCGGATTGTGCGGATGATATTGGAAATCCTAGTCTCTACCCAGTCTTGTAAGCTTTGCGAGACGGAGCGATTGTCGAAAACCTCTGCTCTACCGCCTCTGGTCGATGGGCTGCTAGCAGAAATACCAGAACTTGAGATACTTTCCTTCTTTCTGTGTCTTAGCTGAGAAGGAACGAACTGGGGAACTGAAGGATCCATTGATTCCGAACGATTCATTGAACCACGAAGATCGGCTTCGGCTGGCTTGCGAGATGGACGCGATCTATTCGGTGGAAACGACATTATTAGTAGTAGTGATTTTGAAGATTAACGATGATGATATTAGCTGAACGCGTAGTCGAAGAGTATTTTAAAGAGTTTGCGCGATCCCCAAAACAATTGATAAAGTGTGAGGTGGAAAGTTAGGACTCGACTTGTATGTGCAGCTGTTGTAATGTTGGAGAAAGGAAGAGAGATTCACTCGTATTTGCGGTAGGGAGAGAAAGAAAGAGGGAATCAAAGATGGTGGAGATATTGATTGTAGGGTTACGCTAGTTGAAGAGTTTTTTCTTTGAAGTGGAAGAAATAGTATCGATCTCGAAGGTGAAGTGAAATGGTGCATGAATCAAGAATTGGTCTTGATGAAGAAGCCACTCGATATATGCGAGAATCCTCTCGTTATCTGAGTAAACAGTGAATTGCACCAGTGAATGATAATGGAACTGGGAGATGAAGTGCGGGGAAACACATATCACAATGACAAAGTAAACAAAATGAAAGCTTGCGACTGCACTTTCATGTTGCCTTCAATTATGTTCATCAATTTTTGATATTTCACGAAAGTTACAGAATGCTCACTGAGCCTTTGGGGGATAATTTTCAAGTAAGGAAGTTCTATATGTTTATGGAAGAATTCTCGCTCAATGAGAGTGTCTGATATGCTGTTCAATTTACACAAATGAGTGATATATGGCTATAGTAACATAATTGCTCAGTGAGAGCGTTTGAAAAGCTACTTCAAAGTATTTGAGAAGGTATTACATACATGCCTATGAAAGCATTCTTGATCATTGCTTTGAACAATTTCAGACGAGCTGTTGATCAATCGATCGCTCAGTTATCGATCAACAGCTTAGTAAGATAAGAGCATCTGGAAAGCTATTTCCATGTAATATAATTAAGACTTGAGTGCCATATGTCATGAAAGTAGAACTAGTACATTCGAAGTGATGTGATGAGACGAATATAAAAGAGGGCAGAATAATAGAAGAAGGCGGTCTGAACAAGAATTTGTGATGTGACACTAGCCAGACCCGAGGAGGGCCTTCGGGTAATTGACCAATGGTTTGCAATAAAGGAATTGAAGGCAAAAGGGGTTTGGGTAAACCAACAAGAACTTCCAACAACATCCAATTATTGTCTTGAAGGGAATGTGCTTTGAGTTAATTGAAATTAAGGTGCATACTTATAGGAGTAAGAATAGGAATAGGAGTAGGAGTAGTAGTCGGAGTCGGAATCGGAGCTGGAGTTAGAGTTGGAGTCAGAGTCGGAGTCAGAGTCCAAGTGAGGAAGACTAGTATTGTCAGAAAGTGCGCCAATATAGTTATGTATGATGCATCATGAGGACTGATTAACATACTCATCATAATCATCTTCACCGGAGTGATTGGAATCAAGATCGAGGGTTGAGGGTGTCGCAAGACCGTCAACTGTGGGGGTCAAGAACGGATGTGACTATGAAATAAATAAACTTGTTAGTATTGTGGGTGGTGGTTTAGTAAGGCAAAGCCGCACAGTAGCGAAACTTCAAATTGGCTTCTGGGATAGAATTGAGTGCTGGAATAATTATTTACTTACCATTGTGTGCGCGTTGATTGTTTTTGTATTGTAGAGGCAAAGGAAGTAGGAGAGAGGATGAAAAGGGAAGATAGAAGTGGTGAAAGGATAGTGGTTGAGGATGGAGAGGTGGAGAGTTGAGGAAGCTGAGGTTGTTTTGGAAGGAAGAAGGAAGGGTTTAGATTGAAAAGTGAGGGGTACTAGAATCAGCTGTTGTGCCCAATTTACGCTAGTAGAGATTGGGGCTGGGTAGCTAACCAACTACCAATCAAACTTGGTTACCCATGACTATCCATGTGACTTGAGGAGGGTTATTACTTGGAAAAGCTCGGGAAAGCCAGGTGAATGAAAGTTGAGTGTGCAGCCTTGCTAATCTTCATTGAGAGTCTTGCTATGCATCCATCATCACAATGAAGACTAAGAGACAGTATTCTTGCTGACAATCACAAGAGAAGACACCTTTGTCAGACTTATCATGACCATTGCTATGCTACTTTCTTCCAATCATTCAATGAGTAATGTTCTTGTTCCTCCTATCTTGTACTTTACTTCATTCTGATGCTACCATCATTTGACTGCAACTTAATTTATGTTATCCTGAACATAATTGTGGTATTGGCTTACCAATGCTCGAGACAAATTGGTCTTGTTCATATTTCAACCAGACATTACCAGATATCCTCCTCAAGGGTCCTTGACATAAGTTAATATCTTCCTTTCTAGAGCTTGTATACCAGAGCCTTGATCTTACCATCAATTGACACCAGTTGTTCTTGAATCTTTTCTACCTTGGACAGTGTTGTGGTTCTTGTCTTATAACCATTCAATAGGAGCTTCTTCTTCTCATCCACCGGATAGCTACCTTTTAGGTGCTAGTACTAAGAATTTCATGTCCATTACCATTGTATTCAAGCTTGTGGCCTATCTCATTGGTATTTGGCCACAGTTATCTTTGTTACTCCCTAAAATAGACATTGTTGAAGTAGGTCTTCTCTCATAAGTTATTGACATTGCCAGAACCATTTGTTCTTCTCCCCTGGACAGCTTTTTGGTACTAAATTGGCAGCAAGTAGAAGTAATGGCAGGATCTGTGCCACGAATTAAATTCATAAGCTACCATTTGTTATCCGCAGAAGATGTGTGAGTACCAATCCTCCCTCGAGACCTTCTTGATGGGGCTTTGGGCTAACAATATGAATTGGCAGAATATATTCTGATTTCACGGGCTGATCTACACATCTCTAGACTGGCAACATCGAAGCAAAGCACTGTATGCTGGCGGCCGGCGTTGGAGTAAGTAACAAAGTACCCTGATTTGAGGTCTTTCAATTATGTCACAAACTCAAACATCATTGTAAGTCTCTGACAGCGGCCCATCTAGTTCGAAGAATTAGTCCTCGCAAAGCCAGGCTGCCGATATAGATGAGGATATGATATCAACAGACGACATGACAGTTGCAGCAGAGATTGCGGGTATGGAACAGTGACGAATATCGCGGTAGAAGGACAAGATCGGCGTATATTTTCATTAAACCTTCATCAGTAAATGACCTCGGGAACATGGATCATTTTTGACCTCAGATAGTGTACCATACAGCCAACGGTGTCAGCCTGGAGGTCAATACTCCTGAATGCGTTCCGAGCAAGGATCCAAGACACCTATTTCGAATGGTATTCTCAATTAGCAGTCTTAACCACGCCTCAAGGATGTCGAATTCTAATCGAGAAAGGAAGTTTGGGTCATTACCTATACTGACACACTTCATTGCACAGTAAGTTATCCGGTTGTATGAAAGAAATAAGCGGTTGCAGGAAATAGCACACAAGCTGACCAGTCTGAAAGGCACCATCAGAACACTAGCATATAACATGAAATGCAGTATTTATACCAGAGCACAAATGTATGGAACTTGCGTTAACGATATCATGGCTAGTCGATAAGCCTAACTGAGAAATAGTCCGAACGAAGAGCGCACACAGAGGCAATCGAAGGGATCGACAGCCAGAAGACGACGATAGCGATGGCGATGGTTTCGCGAGATGCAATAACGGCTGTGGCAATGGCGGATCGACTAGTTTACAACAGCAATTCCATATAACAGAGGCATATCCATCTCCCCAATAACTATTTGTGCTCCCTTGCTGAATCACCCAAACGATTTAAACGCTGAGCTGGCCTTTGGCTAAGAACACTTACGTCGAGCGGGCCAATCTACCCAGATGTCTTGGGATGATTCAACTTGATCGTTGGCATCCTACGGATAGAATGTTGCTTTCCGTATCAACAACAAAGTCTCCTCCACCTCACATCGCGAGTTCAAAGTGTTCCCTGCTTTCAGAATCGAACATTGTCTATTGGACCTCCCAATACCACCTATATCCACCCACCAACCAATATTCTCAGAGCTTCCCATGCCTCCAATTAGCTCGCATGGTCGCAAGGTATCTCCTCTTCAGCCACATAGATCACCACTTCCTCCTCAGCCAGGGAACATGGAATACATGTGTATTCGCCGTGTCCGCAGTCTTTTCCTCGTCAACGTAGGATAGGATGGTTTGCAGCAGCTATTTCAATTAAATAGTGAGAATCCTCGGAATATCCGGTACACCCCCCCCCCACAACTCGATGTGTCATGAATTTCATCATCATCTTCCCATTCTTGTCAGAATCATCTTGACTAAATCTTTCCCTGTGATTCACCTAGGAGCAATGTTCGACATGTGCACTATCTTCAATACTGGCCAACCACGCACACAAAGCAAGCCAGTATACCAACTACCGACCACCGACCACCACCACACTATCAGCTTTCAACCCACTAAATTGAGTAGACCAGTATTTCTATTTTTCATGTCATCCCCAAGGAATCAGAAGACTTTCCATATCGTTTGCACCATTCTGAGGTTAAAAAATATTGCAAGGAGTGTAGCACATAATTCAAGAAGGTTTTCGCCCAGATCCACGGTGGTGATTATTATACCATGCAATGTATTATCATCAATTCAGTTGATCAGAATGGCCGATGGCCAAACTCGATCGAGCACCAAAGCTCTGAAAGGCAGCAACGTTCCAGGTCCCTTCCCGTTTCAGCTTTCCTTCTCCGTTGAAAATCACCTCCTTATACCGATCCTACCAATCAATGCCGATTATCTCTCCAATTGCCACCGAGTCTTCCATCATCTGTCAGCCCCTCTCACTTTTGGGGATATTATGAACCCTCCGCGTGAGTCACCAGCCCCTAGAATGAAGCACATCTTTTATATCACCCTTGAGTTTTGAAATACACGAAACTTCGGAGTGGATGAAGCTGATTTACTCAATCTGTACATTGAACTCGCATTGCCTCAGTGGTGCAACTAAGCGAGGAAATGGCGAAGCGATTACCCCCCGATCTCAATACATCCTCAAATCTTTCCCCATCTCGGCCTCTATCACGATTGTGGTTACTATTTTGGCCCGTTCTCTGCCTTATTTTCTCTGATAATCGAGTTTTTGATCCCTACCCCTCTTCCCCCACAATCCCATTTTTTCTATTGTCCCCTCCCCTTTGTTCCCCCTTCAGTCGAAAACTATCAAACTCCCTTCTTCCACCTTCGCAATACAATGACAATACCGCCTCCAACAGCGGCAATGAGACACCATCATTGCAAACTTGTCATGCATATGTGCTTGAGAAGCAAACAAGACGATTGAGTTGGTACGAAGCAATGTTGTTGAGGTTTGTCAATATGTGTCGGAATTTTGTCGCGAGAGGTATGCTAAGCCAAGTGGAGCTAACGCCGATCAGGAGATCGCAAATCATCTCTTCTACTCCCAAAAGCCATCTCATACCCTACCTACAGACTGACAAGATGGAAAACGGTTCAAAAATTCGATAGACTGCTGAAATCATCTACTTAGCCTCGACCGAACCCCAGAATCACCATCACATCATCACACCATCACTATCATTGTCTCTACGGTGATCCCCAACATCAAAGTCTCTCACTCAGGAGTCCAAAAACGACAAAAAATACAGCTACCAAATCACTGAAGCGCATAACCTTACATACCATCTAAACCCATTCTTCAATCGCACAATCTAATCGTGACACCCGTTTACCCAGAACCCACCCAGCCTATGAAACCCATCTCTAGCAACCCATTCACACATGATTCATTCATATATGTACTCGAGTAGACATAGAAAGAAAGAGAGAAATCCCCCAGCCTCAGCCTTTCATTGCCTAATCACTTGGTAAGTCTTACAATACTGTTGTCAAAATCGCAGGACCACTCGTAGGATCAACGCTATTCGACGAACAACTAACCAGCTTACCTGCCCGTTACAGATTATTTTTCATCCCCAGTCTAATACTTCGATTCATCCATCGATCCATCGACCCGTCAATCAAACCAAGGACGCGGAGTAACGATTCAACCAACATACCAAGACGAAAATTCCTTCCTACCCCCTCCCCTCAACCACATGGCCCAAAAACCAATATCCTCACATACCACAGCCAACAGCAAAATCTAACCCCATTACCATCAATCGCCACCGTTACCACCACCATACTCTTCTATGTATCACAAACAGCAAGCCACCAATTCATCATCCACATACACATCCACAACCACATAAACCAACACCCCTTTCCCAATTCCCAACACCCACTTTCCAATATCCAAATCACATATCCAAACACACCAAAAAGAAATCTCCAAAGTTTGTTCAACATCAATCAGTCTAGTCCTAGCTGACTCCAGCTATGCTTCTTAAGCTTCTTCCGTGAATCTCTACTCGACTGAATGGATGTACCGGTATATCTTGAGCCCGAGTTGACGCACGCGAAGTCTGTGCCATTTCACTTGAACTCGAGATTTCCGTGTAGATGCTATATTCTGTGTATGAGCGGTGAAGAAGTATTATGAATATCGATCGGCTGGTATCGCTCATACGTTTTACTTAGTACTGTGCTGGTATTGTACTGTATCATGTATCAAACAAACAAACAAACAAACAAATATCTTCGACAGCGACTGGGAAAAGTACATAGAACAATAAAAACAAATACCATAGCAAGAAAGGTTAAGCATTCCTCGAAACTTAACTTGTTATGGAAAAATCAGGCATAGTATTGGATTGAATTTCGCATTGTATTGTATCGCATTCTTTCCTTCACTTCCCTTCCTCCCCTTATTCCGCTCATCCATGTGCATTAAAACTCATCGCGTAGCATTACATCGCATTCATTCCATATCCACGAACGAACCATCACCTTATCTTCACCGGGTATCTACTTAATTCTCTTCTCTCCTCTATTCTCTTCTCTCTTCCTCTGTAATCATATGAATCGTGGATGGATGGATATAGTGGGCATGTATCGTATGTATGTATGTATATACACCATGTGCGTTTAACAACAGCACTCCTCGCAAATGCAACAGGCGCACAGTTCCTCGAGGAGACAGCATGCGAGACAGGCTTCGCTGTTGTGGGAGTTGGGGTTAGTTTTGTCTGTTTTTTGTATGTTTGTTTCGAGGGAGAGAATTAGAGGGAGAGAAAACATACCAGCATCCACCGCCACCACGCATAGAAACATCGGCGTTCATCCCTTCGTTTTGTCGCTGTGGGTATAGGTTAGTATTATGTATTTGTATTGCATTTGGATTTGTATTTGCGTCGCGATGAAATGAAATAGAATTGAACATGAGAGATATGTGTATACGATTGGGGAAGGGAAAGAGAAAAGGAAGACAAACAGGTTGCTCGGTGATAGGACCATTGGTAGTGGACATCTCCATTTGCTGGGCTTGAGGTTGTTGAGCTTCGAAAGGCATTTTGATGATTTGATTGTTTGTGTTTGTGTTTGTTTTTGAGTTGTTCTGAATTATTTATATGAAGATATACTCGAGTAGAGATTTGAAGATTGTAAATCGTGAATGGTATGGAGAGAAATATAGTAGATAAGTAAGAGAGAGAGAGGTAGATATAAGACCAGAAAAAGAAAGGGTGAGGCAAAGCTTAAAAGTAAAACGCTATTATTCACTATTCCCTTAGTTATTTTTATATGTATCCAACGTATCATTTTCCTTATTCAAGTATAGTACCTATCACCTGTGACCTGAGCCACTCCTCCCAATGGATGGATGGGTGGATCGTATTGCTCCAGCCCTGCTGTGTACTTGTACCAATCCCAGGTGCTTTTGGGGTTTCGAAGACACCAACCAACCCTCGCAGCAGCTGAGTCGAGCAAAACCGGAGAAGGCTATGCTAGTATGCTTATCATTGATGCTTGCTTGCTTTGTTTCGGATTTCTAGAAAGAGGATAGACTATTTTAGATGCAATATAAATTGATAAAATACTCATAGGTGATTTCGTGTTTCTGGGGGTTTCGGCGCAGCGGTACAGGGTAGGGTGTAGGGTAGGACAGGGCTACGTAATATGTACCATAGGTCTTCCTTTTAACCTTCAGGTTCTACAAGGTAACGATGAATGCAAGTGAGGCTACAAGTACTCGAGTATGTACTGTATTCAAATATACATCAAGATCAATTCATTCATCACTCAATCATTCAAACAAACCATTCATCAATCGAAATCCAAATGTCTTAGCCACGCAGCAAAAATCGTCACACAAGGCTTAAGCATCACTTCCCGGCTTGGAGATTTCTTGGTGAGAAGCTTATCAGAGTTGGTTGCCGTCTTTGCCTTGCCAATATTGTCTCAAATGCAAGCCAAGAGCCAAGCCCGTTTTCCCGTTATGATAAAAAGCTTGAGAGTTAGGGATATTGAGAGATGAGCCAGGGGTGAGATGGGGTGCGAGATGGATGATGAGTCAGCAAGAACAGGGGTTAATACGAGTTGAAGTACGATCACCGGTGACCGAGGATGGGTTTTACGGAGTCTGAGAGTACTAGGGTAGATGGAGTGAAGAGGAAGGAATTACCGGTATGTGGGAGGGAATTGAGGATTTGAGAGAAGGAATTGATTGAGCGAGCTTTCGGATTTCCCGGATCTGCTTTGATGGGTGTTGATGTTGCTCTTTATTTATTAGATTTGGGAATGATTTTGGAATGCAGATTGATGATCTCTTAGTGGGATTTGGAACTACCGGTACTAGTATGAAATGATAAGCTTCTGTCGGTCAGACGATGGCAACTATTTGATCCTACAGATAAGTCAGCACATGGTTAAGAAGACACCGTTTTTTTCGATAGAGCCGTTTTGGCATAATGAGGATGAAATATTTGGAGATCTTATTTTGAACGTCGGAGTTGGGCAAGGTGTGTTGTTTGGGGCTGATCAATCGAGTGGTTTGGAACAATGAGGGGCCCAAGAGCAATAATTTGTTTGCTAGACGTTTTTGGCCGTTCAAATTGAAAGAGAGGTGAGTCTAAAGTTAAGCGCAATTCTCCAAAGCTATGTTTCTATATGGCTTGTGTATCCTATATCTCCATCTCATTCAAAATTTAACGCAACCTCTCTTTAATCATCCGTCATCAACGAAAGTGGCAATAGAGCAAGAACTACCACCAGGGCTGGACCTCCCCAAAACCCTACCCCTATGTACCCCGCCCTCGCCCCCAAATCCAACATACTCCCCGCCCAAAGCGGACCCACAATCCGTGCTAATGCACTCGCCATCGTCTGCAAACCATTTATTCTCCCCCGTCCATTATCAAACTTGCATGTTCGAGCAATAAGTATACTTCCCGAAATGAAGCCAAAATCTGCCATACATCCTTTGGCTGCGAAGAGGATACTAAGCACGATAAAGTTTGCAGGATGGGGAAGAAGTGCTGTGAAAGGGGTGGCGATATAGATTGGAAGAACGCCTAGACTGCAGGAGTAGCGGAAGACGTGCAGGACGGAGAAATGTTTATTTAGGACATTGACGAGGAGTATGGGGATGAACATGCAAAAGCATCCGAAGATAGTGAACATGAGGCCGATTTCTGCGGTATCTGTATGCATGTATTTAGTAAAGGGAAATTAGCCGGGTGATGGAATGATGCAAATGTACCGGAACCAAATCCACCATTGAATTTGAAGGGAAGGTGTGCTTGGAGTGAAATAAGATCTTGTTTGGGATGGGCCATGAACACGGATATGATCGTATCGTATGATGATGAGTGCATAGTTAAGAAGCTGTATGAAATAATGCACATGATTGTTCGCCGATCCAAAACTTGTTTCCATGTTGCTATTGCCGGATATTGTGGTGCTTGAGGGATGACTTCAATAGCGTTGACAAGAGATGGTGCCAAAGTGCTGTTATCCGACAATAGAGGAGCAGACTCCAACTCATCATCTTCCTTATCATTATCTTCTTCGTCTTTCCGTCTTAGTTTGTTCCAAGACTTGCTCGCCGCAGCGACAAACCTTTTTCTTAACATAATTCCATAATCTACTCTCCCCTTCTTACTTTCCAATGTCTCCATATATCCGAAGAAAACAACAAACCAACTAAGTAGAAAGAATACTGCGGCAATGAGGTTAGGGAGGGCGTAAGGGTACCTCTCTAGAAACCTAGCACCGTGTGGCTTTCCAGGCTCAACATGATATGGATTTGCTGCTAGACCGCCCAAAATCGGACCTACAGCCCAACCAAGATTGAGTCCAAGTGGCAAAATGGAGAATGCTATGGTTTGGAGTTCCTATGGTTTCGAACAATATCAGTTTTCAACAAGAGGGAAGAGGATGTGGAAAATAACTTTGTCTTTAACCATCTCCGCTAGGCTCGTTTTGAGAACACCAGCATCTCCACTACTCAAACCCATGAGGGCCCTGCTCGTCAAGATCATCCATAAACGCGTCGAGAATCCGAATAGTAATATGCCAATCATAATCATTATACCACAAATCAAAATCACAGGTTTTCGACCAATACGGTCGGAGATATGACCCCATAACACAGCAGTACCAACTTGACAAATAGAAAATGAGGAAATAGCAAGCCCAACCCAGAAACCTAGCGCTTCAGAAGGAACGCCGACATAGCTCATAAGCATGGGGATGTATGGCAGAGAAGCAGAGTAAGCGAATGGGAATGCAAATCGAGAGAGTGCTGTATGCGCATGTGAACCATGAGTGACCGTGACAATCTTTAGATTTATTAAGATAGCGTACATAAGATCAGGATTTGTCCTAATGGAAGGTCTTTGGGAATCTTCATTCTTGGTATCAGGAGAGACGAAGCCAACGGATTAATTGCTTATTCGAAGGTGGCACAACACCGGTAGCGTTGTCGTGAAAGGGGAATGTCGTCGTAGCTTTGCAACGAAAGGTGGGGGTCGAAGAACTCAAGCACTCAAGACGGATGTCAGAAAACATGGAGTAACTAGTGATGAAATGTCTTGAAACCAACTCTAACTTCAATTCATGCACGCTTGCTGTGCTGTCATGTAAGATTGAATATTTCATGATTACGGAACCTACACCAGCCTGCCACGTGATAACTGGATGACTGGCTCAAATTATACGAGTCACGCTTTTATTCTGCCAGAAAGCGGTGAAAACTGCTCAAATTTCGTTTTGTTGCATATCTAAAAAATTGTTGATGAATGCTTTCTTACAAGTCCCAATTGGGGACTCCCAAAAATTGAAAGTTACATGAACTGGGAATAAGACCACTTCCTGGATCTTATTCCCGGTATGCTAAAAATCTAGATTGGTTTTTTTCACCGCCTTGGCCCATTTGGTGTAAAACGGCAGAATGATGAAGCGTCCACAAGATCTCATTCTAGTTTGAAGCCGATAGTGATATCAAAGAAGGATGTGCAACTGATTTGGATTGCAGAGTTAGGGAGTTGGCTTAGCAGACATGCTCGAGAAAACGATTGTGACAACCAACTCAGGAAGTAGAGGACCTCGCGCGTCTTCAGCTTGACATCTGTGATGAACAATTGCAAGTAATCGCAAGGACTGAAACGAATATATACCCTTGAAATGCATGAAGCTGATCATACAACTCCTTCATATCATTGGTGTCAAATTCTTAAGGCCTTGTGGGCTTCTTGAATAACAAATTACACCTGCTCGAAGGATTATCACCTCGTAGGATATCAGACACTGCCCAGCGGTCTGTGCCTTGGTCCTTGAAAGTGTGGAAAGCGTGTATGTACAAGGAAACTCGGTGCGATCCAAAATGTTCTGTATGCGATGACAGAAGAGACAATGGTCGAATTGGCGGGTCTGATACTTATCCCGCGCCACCGTCGCCACCGACTTAAGAGGCGAGGTAGAGACGCCCAGCAAAGTGGCGGCTTCTACAACGACAGTGAGGATAGGCTCGTACATGCCCAACATGCCGTCAATTTGCTTTGGGTAGGCAGAAATTGCCCGAGGCGATTTCCGAGGCATATCACCAGTCAAAATCATGTCCATAGGAACGAAGTTTGGACGGAGATGTTTCCACTCGTCACCGGTAAGTCCGTGACATGAATCATCAAACATGACTATAGTACAATATTGAACAGCAGTCGTCACAAGATCTCCACGCGTTGAGAGACTGACTCGATGTGAGGGTAGCCCAGGACGAATAATTGCCAAGCATTGCTATGGAGTTTGATTTGCAGAATACTATTCGAAAGAGAGAATTGTCGCGTCGACTGACTCTTCATTGACCTTTTCAGTTTGAGTTTCGGATCATTCTCTGCTTGTGAATGTCGTCTTCATGGCCCCGATATCATACACTGAGATATCAGCAGTGTCGCGCAAATTACAGACATCGATGCTAATGTCGTCGAAATGTTGATCGAGTGAGATGAGAATTTGGATTTTGACAACATTACTGTAATCAGCCAGTCGCCTTATCCAAAAGTCTGAATAAACAAGATATCCGTCGACAACTTAAAGCAGAAGCCTAATAATGGAATTGCCCTTCTCAAGATATTTCACAAGGAATTGTGAAGGGGAAAAAAGTATTAGAGGTGCCATCAATCCGACCCCTGTTGGACCTAAGGAGCACTCAGTCATCCGGTATTCTTCTGAACACATCCAAGACAAACAGTGAGTCTTGTGGCAGGAGGTGAACCAGCCACTCGACTTCCATTGTGCTAGTGCTGTCCGTTATACCGATTGGGGACCGTCGATACACACAATCCATCATTAGCTTTGAAGATTCATTGTAGGACGCACGGTTCGACAAGATTGAAGTATGGCAGACACAGGGTATCCAATAGTTTGGATTAATAGACCAAATTGAAAGCAATATTCGGGAATATTTCAATATAGCTACGGAATTGTTACATAAAAATCATAACTGGAAATGACAGCAAAAAGAATAAAAAATAGGAAATCAATAATATTGGTGGATTTTATATTTCATAATTCTTTTTATTAACAAATCCATATTGGTATGTTTCACATAATAGTTTGAAGATAGTGGTTTTCGACTTACTTGCATTCTGATACTTAAGGCCATAGAGTGATGACAACTATACATATTCTCGGAAAAACAAAAGCTAATGAAACATTCTCAAATTATTTATATTATATTACAGATTACATAACTTTCTTGGCCCGAATACATAGGATTGAATATTTACAAGAATAAGGGATTTCCTCTTTCTAAGATTGTATAGTTTCTCAATAACCTACAGACCTAAGTAGTGTAATTGGTAAACAGTCTGATTCCCTTTCTCAAATATGTTGCCGATCAGTACCTGTCTTTTCTGTTTTCCAAGGTTCAAAATTCGCATTTCAGTCCGCAGGTGGCATGCAAAGTTGAGCCAATGCAGGTCAACTAATTTGGTGCATTTATTCACTGTTGTGATGTGTTGTGGTCTTTGACAATATAGACATGGAGATTTATCATTGAGGTTTGTAGGTACACGGCATCGCTGGTGTTTGTATGGGATATGGACGCCGCGTCACTTCTCTCAAGAATCCACTCTGTCCAATACATGACTAGGAAGAGAAATATGAGTACAATTCTCTCGTTTTCCTTGGGATTTCTTGTTATCTTCTTGCTAGATATTGAGAGGTTTGTAGCAGGATGTGCTATGATCTACTAGGGTATGCTAAACGAATCCTTGCTCTCTTCTTAGTACGAAGTAAGCTTCTTTGAACCATTCGACCTAAATCTTTGAGCTAATTCATGTATTCTGGGGTTCCGGGAAAATTCCCTCTTGAGAGCGCAATCGATTTTTCAAACGTATAAATAATAAAATCGACCCGTAATTAATGATAATATCGATGGGAAAGTCGATCGCAACCAGCGTAAGTAGTCCCGCATGCTATGTTCCCAATAGAGGTTCAGTAGGTGAATCAAGAACTCAGAAGTGGTATTCAGTTCAGATCAGTTATGTATTCTCCCTGAAATCGGTCTGCATACTCTTCTACACTGTTTGTACGTGTTGCCAGCTACGAACCTGAAGCCATTCAGAGCCACATGGATACGCGTTCGGTTCAATTCAGCGTTTTCAGCTTTTTCTAAGACGTCCTGTTACGACAATTATACTATTCAACATGTCTACTTTGAGATACGGTTAGGACACTTCGATAAGGTAAGAGCGGATCCAATACGCCTGTGGGTTTCACGATTAATTAAATTTGGCTGTGTTTATTTGAAAGGCATAAAGGGGGAGGGATTGATCGATGTTGAGGGTATTCACTGTGGGATATCTTCACACATGAGCTAGGGTCCATGGAATATGACTGTTTTACTAGGAAAGATCTAAGATTTGTAGAGTACTGATGGGACCAACTCGATCTGCTTTTCAGTCGGCCATGTAATATGTTTCCAGGTCTCTAGTTATAATTATCAACAGGAGTTGAGATCTTCGAACTAATAAATTCATTGGTGGTATTGACTTACGTAATCATTGCAGTGCTGGCAGAAAAGGGCGGTGTGATAGCAAGCAGACTTCACTCAACCTCCACCTCTTACTCTAATCATCATCATCTTACCAACCTACATTTATATACCAGAAATTTGAAGTCGAGGTCGAGTGGTATGGCCAGCTTCGATGGCTTTCAAGTCTATATGTATGAAGTCAGTTTAATCTTCATCTATCGGATGTTCAAGACCGGATGTTGGAGACTGGATGTTCGAGAACCAGTTCAGGGGATGCCAAATCTATCCAGATAAAGCGTAGCCAGGAGGCTAGGAACTGCGTACTACTGTTGATCTCACGGTACTCAGGACTCCCTTATGAAGCAGATTTCTCGGAGCTTTTTTCGATAAATCGGACCATGTTCCTAAACCTGCACACTGATTGCATTAACCCTCCACTTACTTTGATACCACCACCTACGCCTTCCCCTACCCCTTTCCCTCTCGTTTCCCTTCAATTCATATACAAATCATGGCCGAAGTTTCTCGGATTGATACTTCTCGGACCATGGGTGCCGTGCCGGGTTCTTAATCTACTTCCAATAAGAGACAAAGATCCATGACTTTTTAAGGACTTCTGGCCCTTCATACCTTTCCTATTAAATCCTCATTACAGCTGTCTCTTAGCTCTCTTCGCATCCAGGACAAGCGCTTTAATAACGAAAACCACGCCACCCCCAGATCTGTCCGTTTTTATGGAACTTTCTATGTTGAACACCCTTGTCTGAAGTCTCTATTTTCTCATGATTCAGCAAATAGAACCAAGATTGTATCTTATGGCAGCTGCATGAGATAGAGTTCTTTGGTTCTTTGATGTTTGGAATCCATCCAGATAAAGACCAATAGCCGGGCAACCATCCTCCTGTGTGGTTGTCTCACCGACCCATGGCCCAACAATATCTCATAGATACAGCTCAGACTTATCATTTTTGATAATTGAAATCTAGACACTACCTTCAAAACAACAATCTGAGTCAATCTTCGAACAATTTTTTCCAGAACTTCTATTTTTTAACTCTAGGTGCTATTGCTGCGAAAGTTCTAGATCACCCTAAACCACCCCAAACAAGAAATTCCGAAAGGTACGTGTCTTTTATTACCCGAGTCTTTACTGGCCTTGCACATCTCAATTAACTTTCTCTCCTACCCTCTTTTTGAGTTTTTCAGTTCTGCTCTTTATATCTCTGGACCGTACCAACTCATAAACCTCACAGGTATCTTCATTGATGAGTTACACTCCTTGTCCAATGAATCTTGTAGCACTGTTCCTTCTTCTCAAAGAACCTCAGAGCTTTAAGCCAGTATCCTTACTGAGCTGGGATCCTCTAACAGCTGTACTCTATTGCACGGAGAGCTGTTATACCCGGCGAAGAGACCTATATCAACATGATCTTTATCTAGCATGCAAATCGTTGCCGACCTGAATCTGACGAAGTACATGGGATACATCTTTCTGAAATGGATAATTCTTACCATTGTCCGGTCTTTTGAAACCCAAGAACCTTCGACACATGTCATTTTATCCTCTTCCTGAAAAGTACTGTCAAATTCATCTTGCAAATTTGCCACGACTTCAAGGAAGCAGAGAAGCAGTTTGCCACAGGTCTATGGGTCACAATCACACAGTCATCACAGCCAATCATAGCAAGGCGTTTCCGTTTGTAAAATCAAATACAAATTTGGTACCAGGTCATCAGCTAATCGTTGCAAGGCTCGATGACCAAAAGAAGTCTGGGGAGCCGCAAATCCGATGGCATCCAACGCACCAATTTGAAAGGAATCCTAATACCACGACCGGCGTAACACGAATCATATTTCCATCAACAAACGAAGCAACACACTAGCAATTATAATCCGTAAAAATCACAAACGGTACGCAAATGAATTTTACAGCTGTAGAATATCAGTAATCGTACAAGAAGTATGGCGAGAGGATGTGGTATTTACCTTAACACGAAACGGAATCAAATCATCTCAGCATCGTTCAATGATTGTGATAATTGAATTGACCAAGAACTCGGTCTGGAAAATTGGATTCTTGTCGCATCATGGTCTCGATCCTGCCCAAGGTCTCCATAACGCCAGCTCTATGCGTCAAATTGGTAATTCTGTTGAATAGCAATCCAATGGCAGGTAAACCAACCAAAGGAAAGCCACCATTCATGGCCTTGATGGTCATGTCGGAGCGTGGAGACCTATTAGGTCTGGTGTAGTGGACATCCTGAAATTCAAACTGCAGGTAACGATCATCTGGAAGAGTAAGATCGATAAGGTTGGCCTCAACAACCACTGATTCGAGCAATGGAATCTCACGAATCATTCTTGCAACTTTTTGAAAGTTGTCATGGAATTCTTGGACTGGCAGACAAACATGACGGATCATACTAAATTCTCCGCGATATTTCAAGGCGCTGATGTACCCAAGTGGTGGTGCTTGGCCATGGAGGAAACGTAAAGAGACGAAGTCGATAACGTCGACATCTGGATTGACGAAAACGCCCTTCTTTTCACCGTGATACTTCGAAGAGTCTAGATGAAACATTGGTCGGTAAACGCCGACCATTGCGGTAAGAGCACCCTTGCAGGTTCTGAGGAATCGCGGACGCTTTGCGCCGGTAACTGTGTATTCATCATCGTTGGGATGAATCGCAACATTGACATCTTCTTCAATAATTGTGATAATACGCGAATGATCGGAGGACACCATAGCCCAGATCTTGTTTCGAAGCTCGATGGCAAGCTCGCCGAATAACTGGAAGCTTGATGCTGGGGGTGGAGCCATGACCTGGACTACCGGGACGATTGCGCCAACTGGCGTGTGTGGTCCGGAATTCTTCTCAAGGTCAAGCCAACCAAGTCGCTCCACTTGTTGGTCATCGATTTTTGCAACAAGCGCGAGATCGAGCCATTGAGCTCTAGTGAACTCAGCGACGGTTGCAATTGGTGTTCCAGCGAACAAGCTGATGTTATAGCTACCCAGTACGTCAGCATGATACATCGAAAGTTGATGCCGAAACAGGCGCGCTTTGATAGCAAGTACTTACTCGATGGAAGACATGGTGTCAAGAGGTATTAAAAGGTGTGAAGACGTCAAAGTAAGATCGTTGATTGGTTTTGCGGTGTCGATAGAAACGACACCGAAACTTCGGGGAGAGGTGTGTGCTTGGCTGTGTTCTGTGTTCCTGGTGTCGATAAGAACGATAAGGAAACGTGGAGTCAAGAGGTGTATAGGTTGTGTTCCTGCAGCCGATAAAAACGACGGAGGAGCCAGGAATTTAAAGACTGATGCAGCGTAAGTAGTTGCTATTTTTCAAAAGCTTTGGGGAGATTCGAAAGATGTCAGCAGAGCGAAGGATATAAATCACTTACAGATCGATCGGAGGAATCCTGAGGCTTGCTTCTGGTGCCAAGGAAAGGACACAGAAATGAAGACCGCTAATAGGACTGTTGCAGCGTAAGTAGATGCTCGGTTCTTAAAAGCTAACACGAGATTGCAGAATAGAAATACTTACAGATCGAACCTCAAGAGAACTTGTAAGTCTTTTCTGGTGACAAAGAAAGGCCACAGAAATTTGGTCTCGATGGGGAGCTGAAATGAATCTCGAAGTCGATAAAGAACGATAGAGAAACTTGAAAGTATTGGATCTAAACTGTTGCGGAGTAAGCAGATGTTCAGATCTTAAAGAATACGACAGAGTGGAAGACTTTAACACTGACAGATCGAATATATTGGAAGAAAATTGTAAGTTGAGATTGAAGAGCTAATTTGAAGGTTAGTACTACAGCCTTCGATCTTGGTGTGCTGTGTGTAAATGTTTTGAACGAGGAAGATATAATTCAAGTAGACAGAGGTTGAGTGTCAGAGGTATGTGTTATAAAGTGAAGAAAGATGAGAAAGAAATACATCTGCGACAAGGTACCACATGGGGGGAAAAGTTTGGGGAAATTAGGGATAAGTGAAGTTGAGGGATGAGTGGTACAGAATTGAAGACGAGAAGGAACTTGTAGTACAAGCGACGATGAGCGCAGAGATGTCTCTGAAAGTAAATTGGGTTTATGGGTGACTTGTGGGAATCTCGACAGTGTGGAGTGGTAACGGTGGTGTTAATGAAGTTGAAGAAGCGAGGAGTGAGGAAGTAGGCAAACTTGATATCAGTTTGAAAGAATTGACTTACTGAAGTGCGGTGATCTTTTACCAAGAGTGGTGGATGGCTTCGAAAGAAAATGCTATTACGATGAAAGTCAGCATTGGTGGTTGGGAGGCTGTTTGATAAGAAGTAGCCAATCTTCACTGAAAGTTTAGGATGGAAAGGCCGCGATATTGATTGCGAAAATGTTCAGATTCCAAGGATGGTACTTACTTCAGCTGATTGAAGGTTGAATTGTCTGTACAAGGCCTGTGATAACCGTGAGTTTTTGATCGATCGTTGGGTTCTTCTGTGGTGAAATGGAGTATGGAGAGACTTTGATTTAGAGGGGACTCGAGGAAGATGCAAGTGCTTCTTTTATATAATAATCTTGGAGCACTTACAATAGAATCAAAAGCAGAAATATCTTCTCCCAAAGCGATGGGTGTTGTTAAAGAGCGTCTTTGGTATTGTCTTTCCTGAAGGTTTATTGTTTAAAATTTGTCAAAAGTGGTTATTGTGGGAGAGAACAATAAAGTCCGATTATTATAGCCGGGTTGCTAGACAGCAACCAGGCTCGACAAGCACAACCCTTTAGCGAGCGAATAGCATCACGAGAAATTCAGGGCTTCCAACATCGCTTTTCTTATGGCCTTACCTTGCTAGGTATGAGGATAAAAGGAATGCCTTATGGCGGAAATATCTTTGGTAGCAGCAAGGAGTTTATGAACTGGATATGTTAGTGAACCAAAATGTTGTAAATAGCTCTTCATTAGACACCAACCATACCTTTATCGTACCAGCTAACCTCATACCACGTTCTATATCTTCTCCAAGCCTCGAGCTTGAAAATTTACCCGCGTAAATCTATCGGCCTGCTTGTGATGACAAACTAAGCTACCCGAAGACTTCTCCATTGCAATACTCCCTGCCTCATGTGTCCTGCAGCCACTACAACAATGGCATTATCTGGAACAAACTTGTACTTTGTAACAGTCGATTCGCCTCGGAAGTGTCACGATTACAGTCTTGTCGAACGCAATGCCAGCCATACAGGACCTGATTGCTTTATCAAAACGTCGCCATAAAGCCATAGCTACGCCTTCGTAAGTCTCGTCCCATGTTGTTATCTTCGGACCGATCCAGCGAGTTACACACAAATCATAAAGCCGATTCGACATACATGCTACGTGGCCCTTCTTTTCGTATGCTGATCCGATCTTCAGTGCAGGCTCGCGCATACCAAAAGGCTTCGGCAAGATAGTGGTTAGGTGCTTTGAGTATCGGGTGTATTAGGATGAGAAGTCGGAATACATGTGATACTAGTGCGAAATGGGGGGTAAAGGAAAGGAAGGAGATTCTGCAGCATCGTTATATGGATTAGGTTTGGAAGGATGGGCTCGAGCTGGACCACCATCGGACTCGTCTGCAGAAGATGGTCTTGTTACATGTACAGTCGGCGCCGGGAATGAGGTATTCATACTACCTGCATGCTATCAACGTACATTGATTGTGTTGCTGATTATCTATACCTATGTCTTCATGGTCGATAGAGCTTGATATCTTCGTTGGATCTGGTGCGCCCTCGGTGTTTCTTGAAGATTCGCGAGAAAGGATGGCTTTGGTTGATGCACCGAGGTGAACAACCTTTCTTTTATAGAAGAACTTTCTGTCGCCACTAAAAAGTCCAGCTGCGTGTTGAAGAGAGGGTGTGGGCTTATGAGGAGGAAGGGAAACAGGTGAAAAGTTACCCTGATCTTAGAAAATGCTGTTGTATCAAGGAGGTTGAGGAAGCATGAGCTCCGGCCTTTATACCCCCGGGACTTTCCCTTCTTGCGTGATCTGGGTATGGATTGCATGCTCAGATGAAGTGCGGTCTCGGAAGGTAACGAGGTGGGTGTGGGGAAAGGGGGAGTGGGGAGGGGGGAGGGCAGGTGAATATCTTGGGAATTAGGAAGTTTACTCCATCTCGGACACTTTGCTAACGTTCAAAAGTAAGACCATTCGATCCTGCCAGTACGGCAATGCTCGACACTCTCTCTTGGAAACTATACATACAAGACCGCAGAGTTCAAAACTACACCCACCTATCACTACTGCTATGCTATACCTTCCCATTGCATGTCTGCAAAATATTCAAATATCTTCCCTCCTTCCCTCCTTTACTCCCAGGCCAATCTACAAATTCTTGATCGGAAATATGGAGGAACTTCGAAGCTCGGACATTGAGGATGGGAGGGTACTCGGTAGTACTTTCATTACTTACGTAGACCCATGAGAAATTTGAAGGAGCAGCAATCGAGGTTTACACATTTGTATGGGTTTCTCGATATAATCACTAGTTGAAGAAGTCAATAGCAGCCATGCGGACATTTGGGAGCATGATAATTAACCTTCGGATCAGACTTACTACGTTACGATGGGAGAGGTTCATACTGATGTAGTGCACATATCTGGAAGGAGATATGGTTTTGCACTACGCCGGTCTGCGTTACATGATCTATAGATCCAGAAATTTCCTTCATTATTTCAGATTTCGGGTATTGCGGTAAGGCATCCTTATATTTCCAGTTCAGGATCACCATCGTAATTATTGCTTCATTATTGACATTCTCGGGTGCAGGAGAGCAACTAAATGAAGTGTCCTGTGGTAGAATGCTGACATGTACTGGGGCTTGAAATGCTGCTGATATACTCGTATGTAGTTTTTTCTCTGATCTATGTACGTCGATTTTTGCTCGGTCATTTCTTCTGCTTTTGGCTGGCTCGTCTTACATGATACGTATTCTCGAGAGAATCAACGCTCTACATATTTGGGAACAGCGAACGGCGAATATCAAAGTATGAAGATATCTGGAGTGCGGGCTGCATACCGCAATTGTCTTAGGAAGCTGGGTGGGGATGGAGGTTACCACTTTCATATGTTCACTTCATTCCAGTATTCATTATCAAGCTCTGTATATCCTTCCAAACAAATTTCTAGATTCGGCGGCATCTGTATATACCAGGAAGAGGCAAAAATATTTCTATATACAACAACGTAGCGTCTTGACCACCTCATTCATTCAATCATCTAGACTTCTTCTCGTCCAAGCATCTATGATACCAATTACATTATATACATACTCCTTACCTCAATATACCATAAAACCCCAATGAATATAGTATTTCTCCTCCCCAATCATCTCTGCCCCCCCATTCCCCACCCCCCTCCCAAAAGAAGATATCTAAGCGAAAAAGCACTATAAGAGAAGCAATGAACACCGCATCGCGATTTTGTACATGATGTTTTGCCCTTATTGTTATTCCCTGCAAATACGGTGAAGTATTTATCAAGGAATCATTCCATCGCTATGTTATAACTATATATTATGACCATGAAATGAGAAAGGTACTGTAGAAAGAAGGGGCTTAGAAACATAGGATTGCCTATTATACTTCACGGATATCGATCTAATTTAATAGTCATTGATAATCTTATGGACATTGTTCCACCTCTCATACAAGTACAGTACAACCAACTACTCCAACACCGAATTTGAATCTTGACTTCGCTTCACTTCACTTAACCAATACATGCACCTCTATTTTCTCCTTTCTCCTTTCTCACCTCTCTCTCCTTCAACTCAATTTCCAAATCTTAAAGTTCAAACATAGATCAATAAATGTCTCTCCTCTTATATCTACATCCCCAATCCAACCTCCAACCTCCAAACACCCTATCCTCATATCCTCATCCTCATATTCATCAAAGTAAACAACCAAAGTAAATAATCAACAAACAATATCCCTCAGTCTAAACTTTTCACTTTAAACAAAAATGAAAATAACTAACTCAAAATGAGAAAACCTCACTCCCAAAATGAAATTCTCTTCAGCTTCAGCTTCTACTCGAATATATAATATGAAAGTATTACTGCTACTTACTTTATTACTTAGGTATGGCCTGCTTGCTATTATCTACTATTTATTGTTATAAACTATATCTATACCTCGATCTAGATCAATATAACGAATAATAAGCAAAAAGTAACGAGTATACCAATACCGATACCAATACCGACACGGATATGATATCAGACTTCTATCCTTACAAAGCTAATTGTGAGATTGGCTTTCAAGCGTGATGTATGGTATGTGGTATGTGATATCTGCTATCTGCTCACTTGTTGGAAGAAGTGAGGAGTGAGAGTGAGAGTGAGAATGGGAGTAAGAATGAAAGTGAAACTGAGAGCGAGAGTGAGAGTAAGAGTGAAGAATAAGATGAGAGGACATAGGATACAGTAGTGAGAAGGATAGGATGTCTAGAGTGAGTTTCGAAGACAAGACAAGAGAAGAAAAGATAGAACGAAAAGGTAAAATGTTGGAAAGATGTACCTATGTAGAATGAAATCTGCCAGTTCCAACTTCCAAGTAAGCAAGTTTCCTATCCAATATGATATATCTGGAAGAAAAAAAAATTACATTCGAAAAACCACCCTAAGTTTGCCAGAGGGCAATATCCACCAATTAAACTGGGTCACAAGACTGCCAATTTTCTTGCGTATCTCAAAGTATCTTGATATCATCACAAATGTATCAGCATAGGAAATCGGCCTGTAAGTATAGGTAGAGTTGTCTATTATTCAATTAATCAACCATCAGCGCCAATCTTCTACACCTATGCCAACCCCTTTCCCAGCAATTCTTCTCCTATCTCTTTGATTAAGGCTTCTTTTGGAAATGCCTTCGCCTTGCCCAGAATCGTCCCTTGAGCATCCATACTTTTCAATAAATCTACCAGCTCTCCTCCTTTCGGGCTCCCAAATACCAAATGACCAAACGCCAATAGATACCCCTTTAATGCTTCTGGGGATTCCTTTTCTTCCTGTATAGCTTCTAGTAATGAGGCGGCGAGTTCTATTTGTTCGCTTTCTGGTAATACTTCTTTATGGTCTTCTATGCGGAGACTGGAATTTGCAAATGCCATGTTGAAGGCAAGACTTGCGGCTGCGACGCGAACGTTATGATGTGCATCATCAAGCAGCGAGGTGGTTATTAGTTCAACGAGGGGATGAGTAAGGGTCGGACAACCGAGGATATGCTGAGGGTATAGGGGACTTGTGAACAGATTACAGGCTGCTTGAAGTGCGACTAAACGGAGTGAGTAAGGGCAATCTTTGAGACTATCAACATATGTGAATAGAGGAGCAATGGTTTTGTGACTCTTTTCCTCGGCATAGTAGCCACTAAGTCTGGGATCCACAAGAGCACATCGAAGGAGATCAACTATTGGAAACATAATTTCCGTTGGTAAATTGGAGGGGGCTTCTCGTAGAAACCAACTAAAGGCATCGAGATCCGGAAGATGGGTTTGCGCTGCAGGTTTCGAATACTCCGAGACAAAATGGAGAACTCCTTTAATAGCCGCATTATCAGCAGCAGGTCCCATTTTTGCTTTGAGTTTTTCAAGTGGGGGGACTTTAGTGTAAATGACTGGCAGTAGATCTAGTGCTCGAAGTGCTGGTAAACGTAAAGATTCGTGTGCATGAGGCGGGAATGCCATTTGTACCAGAAGCTGTACATTTCCTCGCAGGGACGCCGCATCTCCTCCCGCCCAGCGTTTCTCCTCCTCGCCTCGTAAGTATGTCGCAAACGAGGGTGTAGCGTTAACACTATATTTTGTGGCAATCTCATACGACCGGGAGATATCAACTAGTATGAGGATGGCTTTGCGTCCTGCATCCTTTGCAAGTTGCTCAAATACAGGATATAGAGTCTTGCAAGGGGCGCAAGTATGAGAGGTAAAGAAAATGACTGCACATTTCTTCCTGGCCAATCTTAAGAGATTATCTAATTCGGTGGAGGTTGTTGCGTGCCGAACTTGGGACATCGATGTCTGCTGCTGCGGATCCTCCGAGCTCTGTATACCCAAAAGGCCGCCATTATTCATACTATTCAAGGTAACGTAATCATTGAAGCGCGGTTGTATCATTCTGCCAAACGGAGTATTGAGTACAGTCTCCGGAAGATTCGTAATATAGTCGGGGATTCCACGACCAACCAGAAAAGTAGCGAAATCGTTCGAGAAGTTGTTGCAATTGTGTTTCCAGAGATCATACGCCTACAAACGATTAGCTCATGGCCAGAGGCGTAATATCGGAGGAGAATTCACCTCAAAGGTATAGATCGCTTTCAAAGACTCGAGATATTCCAGAATCACATCCATAGGCAAATCCGTTTTCCCTAATTCCAAAACCTGCAATGGCTTGCCTAGGTGAGTTTCCCCGGGCCTAACAGTTTTGACCCCTCCATCATAGGTATATTCGATGCCCCCGAAAACGACTGAAGTATGGTAGATAGCGTCAATCTGGACGCCCAATAAAGCTCCAGACAAATTGCGCGCTAAGCCCTTCGACAGATCATATATGTATAGCTGGACGTTCATTATTCTGTCCCTGTGATTATTGAGTAGGTAGGTAATAGAAAGATGCGTATTCAGAGCAGAGAGAGATAGGATAAGCGCAAATTAGTGGAAGAAAGTAGAAAAGTAACAAGGAAATAGAAGAGAAACCAAACTTAGGGAGTTGATTGTGGTAACATTATTAACAATTTCATATAGAGCACAAATGCTATTCCATAACATTCTATGAAAGCCATGAGATCAATGAATGAAGGCAACTTCAAGCTGACGATGAGTTCGGAAACTCGGTCGAAGGGTGTGATTTTAACAGATTACTAATAAATCACTGATATCAGACCCCTTTATGATAAGGTAAAGTCTTTATCATATGAATAATTGATATTTACACACCCTACAAGCCTCCCTTCATTCTAATCAACCAATCACTTATCTCCGCAATCATAAATTCAGCCACAGTCCTCAAATTTAATGCAAGGGTGAAGCCAAATCCGTCCCCCCTATTGCTATTTTTAATTTTTTGCCTTTACTTACTTAGAGTTATTCTTGTCCTGATAACTGCTCCAAAGGATCTGGAACTTCACCAATCCTTCTCTTTTCATTTCTGAAACTTTCACTCGTTTTTTGAGCCGCTGGTATTATTACAGTAGTTGTTAGTTCTACTACTTCTCGCTCTTTCGCAGATGCGACGTACTTCTGTTTCTCGCCCATCGAAGAGTATATCACACGACACTCACGACAAACTTACAAAACATAGTAATAAGTCCGGCGCAAACGAAAGCGCCTCTTTCAAACTGGAGAAATCAAAGAACGCCAGAATGACCCAAAGTCAGCGGTCAAGATACTTGAAGACAGGAGGAATTCTGCTCTTCGTTATCTTCTTATTCTATTATCTGTCCCCAAAAGGTACGCAGGTATCAAACACTGGTATGCCACAATTAAAAGTCTTAATATATCATTGTCTAACGTACAATAGTTGGAAATGCCGTCGATATAGTTAAAAGTGGAAATGATGGACAATCGCCATCCGACTCGACATATGGGACAACGAAGTGCTCGAAATCCTCTAGCAAGTCGAAACCGATTGTTCAATATGCCATCATGATCGATGCTGGCAGTACCGGTTCTCGAGTTCACGTATATAAGTTCAATAACTGCGGTCCTTCGCCAGAGTTGGAGCACGAAGAATTCCAAATGACGGAAAAGAAAGATGGAGGTTCCGGATTGAGCTCCTTTGGAGCCGACGCTGAAGGCGCCGCAAAGAGTCTCGATATGCTTATGGATGTTGCAGTGAAAACTGTTCCAGACGCACTTAAGTCTTGCACTCCTGTGGCTGTTAAGGCTACTGCTGGTTTACGAAAACTTGGTCCGGAATTGAGCACCAAAATTCTTGAAGCTGTTCGTACCAGATTGGAGACTGTCTATCCGTTCGCGGTTGTATCAGATGAAAAGGGTGGTGTCCAGGTTATGGAAGGTACCGATGAGGGTGTCTACGCTTGGATTACTACAAACTTTTTACTCGGAAACATTGGAGGCCCAGCTCCTGGAGTTACTGCAGCAGTTTTCGATCTTGGTGGAGGCTCGACCCAAGTTGTCTTTGAACCCAAGTACAAATTACCTGAGAAAATGGCCGAAGGTGATCATAAATACAAGCTTACGTTTGGTGGAAGAGATTTCGAGCTTTATCAACACTCTCATTTGGGATTTGGTCTCATGGCTGCCCGTGAAACTATTCACAAGACTCTCATCGATGACGTTCATGCGGCTAATCCTACGGATCTCGCTTGGGCCGCATCGCCAATCGTCAACCCTTGTATCGCACCAGGCATGAACCGTTCGGTCGATGTTGCATTCGACGAGAAACATCCTCTTCGTTCTAAATTAGGAGAGAGCAACGAATTCGTCATGAAGGGCCCTTCTTCCCCATCCCCAGCTCAATGTCGTAAGCTTGCAGAGAAGATCCTGTTCAAGGAAGCCGAATGCAAAGTTGCACCTTGCTCCTTCAATGGTGTTCATCAACCCTCTTTAGAAAAGACCTTTCAACACGAGGATGTCTATACTTTCTCATACTTCTTTGATCGTACAGACCCTCTCGGAATGCCAGAATCTTTTACTCTACGGGAATTGCATGATCTTACCAGCCAAGTTTGTGGCGGTGCCTCTCATTGGGATATGTTTACTGCTATTCCTGATGCTATCAAGGAATTGAAGGATAGACCCGAATGGTGCCTTGATTTGAACTTCATGATGGCTTTGTTGCACACGGGTTACGAAATGCCAATTGATAGAGAGGTCAAGATTGCAAAGAAGCTCAAGGGTAATGAGCTTGGATGGTGTCTTGGTGCTAGGTATGTTTTATTCCTTCCCTAAAAATATTTGATCTAACTGTCAATAGTCTTCCATTGCTTGAGGCAGGCTCCGGATGGACATGTCGCGTTAAGGAAGTCTCTAAATGATCATGTAATGAGCTGCAAGATATGTATGATTCATGGATGACAGGCGTAATGAGGGGATTGACTTGAAAAGGTCTCAAAACTTAGCAGCTTCAAAGAATGAGAGGTGTCAAAGCTGTGTCTTTATACAATGGCTTGATCAAGTAAATAATTCATGACATTTTATTCTTTTCCCATCCATTATGAGATCAAATACCTTCTGTGAGCTCTCTTTCCTAAACATCATCCAAATTTAGGAAAGCTAAATGCAGCACATCAAAGCATTTCCGCAGCCAAAAGTATGTATGCCATCATATCGAGTGGCGATTTACAGTTGTACACCACGAATAAATCCCTTGCTGATTGGCGAATCCGCCTCGTGGTTGCCATTTTGTACATTTCACGTGATTACCACTTTGCGTTTTCGTGGTAGACGTCATTATTGACGTGTGCCCAGCCATCGAACATAGGTAAATATGATATGATACCTCGACATTAAGTTACAATTCCATTGATACAATAATTAACTACGAGCAAAAGTCCATTCTTGTCACTCAAACCCATTCAGCTAATATGCAATTAATCCCAACCCTCACACTTCTCTTGATCGCCGGCTTCAAGCTTAGCTCAGCCCTCGTCGTATCTCCAGAATCATACGATTATGATTCTTTGGAATCCAGCCACACTCATACTGATAAGATTCGCTCATTGAAAGGTATTCAGAAAATGTATGTAATGCACCACACCTATCCCGTATCATATAACCATGCCAGTGTCCTCATCTCATCCTAACATTCTTCTAGTCTCAAAAAAGCAGATATCATTCATGATGTGCTCGATCCCTTCATCCCCTCCTGTTATCTCGCCCCCTCTTACTCCCTTTCCTCTACACAAAAAGATGTCAAATTGGGAAACACAATCAAGCCTGCAAAAACACAAGAAGCACCTTCGATCAAAATATTCTGTCCGGGGAAAATGACAGTTTCGGGTGGTCTAACCATTATTCTAACGGATCCCGATGCGCCGTCGAGGGGTAATAATAGTCTGTCTGAAATGTGCCACTGGATTGCCCGGGTACCGGAGGTCGTGATTGGAAAACTGGGTATAATCGCTGATCTTAATGCCACGGATTTGGTGTCAGTAGTTGATTGTGAGTGTAATACATTACTCGTACAGAAAATAAACACTGGGGCGGACACATGCTAACGAGAAGTAATAGATAAAGCCCCAGCGCCCCCAAAGGGAACAGGGAAACATCGATATGTATTTGTACTATTGGAGGGCGCGAATGATGATCTCAAGACGCCGGAGGAGAGGAAACATTGGGGGTTTGAAGAGCCGGGGAGTGGGGTGAGGGAGTGGGCGGAGAGGGAAGGTTTGTCGGTTGTGGGGGCGAATTTTCACTATGAGAAGTTTCATGCGGAGAAGGAGAGTACGTTTGAGGCGCAGTTCTGGTATTGAGTGGTTGGTGGTGATATGTGAGAGGGAAGGGGGGGAAGTTGATGTGTAATTTTGGGATAATACATATAGGCTTCATTAATGGAACTTGTTTTTCTCATTACTCGTACTTGGTAGTATACCGTTATATGGGTTTCGTAACGAACACTTAGGGGCTATTGATCATCATCACGGTATCTTTATAAATCACTAGGAACATACCATGCATGTCCTATTTCATGGCCCCAAGACTCTCCAATATTCTCACTCATCTCATACTCGAGTCTCGACCGACGTTCCAAAAAAAAAACATAATCTTTTAATGCTACAGCAGCATGTCAGGATAACTTCTCAATTTCCATGGATGAAACTAACTGTCTTTCGAATACATACCAGCAATATTGATCTATTCGGGAATATATCAATGATAGTGCCAGTGTACATATAGGAACATTACAGTAGCAAATTATGAAAGTTATTTTAGGTAGAGGGAGGAGAGAAGGGTTGCAAGGAGGGTGGAAACTTGAAAGAAGGTCGATGAAAATGAGAGGATGATGGAATGATGCAATGATGTTGAATTTGATTCAGAATTCAGAATGATGGCTAGAAGAGATTATTGCGAACGATGACTTGGATTGGAAACTATGGATGAAAAGCACAGAGTCGCAAATAGCTTGTCGTTTTAAGTGCATAGGACACGCAAATATGAAGAAAGACCTGGATAGAGTAAAACAACGATACATTTTATCCTCTATTCTAAGTAACCCAATCCAATCCAATCCAGCAACAGAACTCCTCCCAAATCACAAACCAAATGAAGATGATAAAATGAATCTGACCCTCTATCCCGAATACGAAGCACATCAACATATTACCAGAATTCCTCCCTAAGAAAGAAATAGACAAAAATATATCGAGTAGATACTCCGTCCAAGTTCATACCAAAATTTTTTTACCTCGACTCGGGCTCATTATATCTCCAAATTACTCGAGTATATCGCCAAAACTCCTTGCAAAGAAAACGATAGAAAAATAAGAAATTTGAAGGTACGCAAATAGACAGATAGAAAGAATGTCATAGGATAGGATATGACTCGAGCCAACAACCCAACAACCTAACACACACTTGCCTTCTCTCGCGCTAGCGAAGTCGGAGATCGATGGGAAGATCTGGTGGGAATGGTAAGTTAGTGGCTCTCTCGAATAGTATGTATGTTAGGTATGTATCTGGAATTCTCTCTCCTATTCTTACCAATTCGCTTAAATATGTATGTATAGCATCGACATACATCAACATAAAATCAGCCATAAATTCCCTCCAGCCCGCTCCACTAGCGTTCAACACTCATACCTTCCACCCCCCGTATACCGATATGTCCTTCCATTTCCCTGATAAACGCCAGAAGCTCTTCGGATCGACCAAACACTATCCACAATTCCTTCACTGGCCACATCGCTTGCAGTGATACCATTGGTCCCTTGGCGTGGATCGTATGGTACATATTTTATATTTGGTTTTGATAGTGCTTCGAATTCTTGCTTTGGTGTTGCTGCGAAAACTTCCCTTGAATAAGAATACTCCCTAAGTGAATCTTTCTCATCATATTCGAATTTCGATCTGTTCTCCTTCGTACGGAACCCGGTGGGTGGTTTTCTAGACCGGGATATATGTACAGGAGGTGTATGCAGCGGTGATGGTGATGGTGATGGTGATGGTGATGGTGATGGAGTCCTACAGTATCTAACATCAGATTTAAACCTTACAAGAATCTAGAAGGCTCTAATGAAGCATACCTCTCTGCAGACAGCTCACAACTAGGACATTTCCGCTTCTTATAAATATGTTCCGACCGTGGGTGCGTAGTAGGTGGTTTTCCCTTTGTAAACGCTTCGCAAGATGTGCATTTCTCTTGACTCTTCGATGGTTTCCATGTGATACAAATGCACGTATATATAATAAATAACTCAGTACAAACCCCGCATTGCTTCTCCCTACATTTCCGACAATGCTTATGATCCTTTGAGAAATGCGGACGAAAATCAGGTCTAGTGGTTGGAGATGCCCCTTTGCAATTTCGACATAATTCCCTCTTGGCTTCGTCCTCGATCTCAACGCAACATGCGTAGACCACGAAGGGAAATATACACGTGGTGCATTTCTCCAAGTTGAAGTTCTTTTTTTTGCAGATTTCCTCGGAGCAAGCTCCTGGTTTTCTTTCGAATTTTAGGGTATGGGTGGTGCTTCGGCGGCATTTGGGGATGTCGGGATTCAGAGGGTTGGTGGCGAAGCATGAAAGGCATTCCCCGATGTGACAGCATTCCGTAGTTGTGGTTTCTAGATGGCCACAGCTGTAGGCTTTACATGTTATTACGCAGTCTTTGCACCTTGGAAGAGGTTTGGCATATATTATGGGACTGTCCGTCATTCTACTTGTTGTATTGTATCGAAAATATCTAGTAGATGTAGATGTAGAAGTTTTATCGAAGAAATGTAAATAGTTAAGAATTTGCTAAATAGATGTATGTTGATAAAAAAGAAAAAAGAAAAGAAAAGAAAAGAAAAGAAAAGAAAAGAACGCTCAAACCAGCGAACCCCAGCCCTTTTAAGCCTACCCAGTGGACCTTAAAGTGACTCCTAAATAAAAAGCCATTTCCCATAATGAATCAATGAGTGCCATAGATATGAGTCTATACTTTGCAGTCATCGGTACAAATATCGCCTCAAAAAAAGAATCATGTTCTCATCCAACCCCCTAATCAGCCGAAATCTTCCTGTCCCATCTTGCCATCTTGTCATCAACTTCCAAGAAACAAATGAATAAAGAAACTCTCAAATAGCCTTATCATCATACGTAGACCCCCCACACTCATAGTCCCTGATACTATGCATACTAAAAGATCATCCTGCAAGAAATCAAGGGTTAGTAATCTATTTATAAGGAACAATATACTCGAGTACAAATACTCCATAAGAAGATCGCTGGACTTACCCATCAATAAATCTCCTATAAGCATCTATTCATACCCCCCCAAAACATATATCTCCTCGACCTCCTACTTCGCCCTGACTTATTCATTCAGGATCTTCGAAGAGTATTCATTGTGCTTACTCGTACCATGTATCGAGCTAGAATGGTGATTTTCCCTGCTAGATGATGGTTTGGAAGTACGACTTGAGCTAGAAGATTGATCTCTACTGTCATAAGACGACTCATCATAAGCCCTTGATGCAGACTTTGAGGTGGATTGTCTGGAGCTATCCTTTTTGGAGACTGCATCTTCTCGGCGTAATTCTTTCTCGTATCGACGAGCTTTTTTGGCGGCTCGTTTCTCCTCTTCTGCGTCAGAGCGGGCTTGAAAATCTCTTTCGGCTCGTTCTCGCTCCCACTGTTCATGTGCTCGGGTATCTACTGGAACGGTATATGGCTGTGATGCTGGTGTCCAACTTGGATTCACCCTAGCCGTCAGTCTCGAGGAAGTGGCTTCTGTGATATGAGGGTTTCGAGGCGCTGGTTGGCTGTTATTCTCTGATCGGCTATAGTGCCGAGATTGATCTTCACAAGGCCATGGAGAAGTCGATTGTTTGGTGTCCGCATCCAGTCGAGCTTTCTCGTTTTCCTCAGATCTTTGCTCTGGCTTGCATCGTGTACACCCTTCATCAAGAGCCCTCGCGAAAATCTCTAGCTTAGTTGAAGCGCCACCAGCTTTGCCCAGCTGACATTTTCCTTCAGGACATTGGCTTGCGGTATCAACCCGATCATAACAACCGCAAGTGTAAACGGTAATCAGCATGTAGCATTTTGCAGGCGGCCCTTCAGCCTCAATAGATTCCTTAGTTTTGTATCTCTTGCACCACTCTGTCCTCTCACAGCTGGAGTTGCCCACCATTTTGAATTGATATTTGGGTTTCGTAGTGGGTTTCGGCGCGTTCGGAAATTTATCAGGATGCAACATCTGGCTTACCCCACAACAAGCGCTACTACTATCATTCCATAACGGGTCGCAGTAAGTCGTCTTGATACATCCGCAAGAGTATATCATGTATTCTACTGTACAGCGGTCGCATTCCTTTAGTTCCGGGTCGTATAATCCAAACCTCATGTTCCATGCAGTTATTCTACCCATGACTGCTTGATGTAATGTGTTTGAAAGTCGTAGATAAGTTTCAAAGATGTTAATATTGTAAGGTATCGAAAGCAAAAGTTTATTGTTGAAACAAAAAAGAAAAAGAAAAGAAACTCTCAAGCCAGCTGAAGCTAATTCTTTTAAGTCCATAAACTTCTAGAATGACTCCTGAATATAATAATATCTTCTATGAATCAAGAAAATTCCAAATGAATTTGCACTTTACAGTCATGGATATAAAATCGTCTAAGTGACGGATTCATATCTTAGAAAAAGCACCAGGAGGAGTATTGCATGTTAATGTTCCCAACCACACAGAATCCTTGCATGCGGGGTTTTCATGTTTTTCCCAAGTATAGTATTTCCACAAGCATACACCCAAATCTCCATGGGATTAAGGTCCAGGATGGTCAATCAGTCAGTCTGTGACCAGTGAGCTTCTAATTCTTCACTGACTGACTGATGACATTTCGCTCTACCCACTGACTAATCGACATCGCGGATCAACTGGTCAGCATACACGTGATCCTTTTGTGAAGTTTGAAGTTTGAAGATTGAACTTTGAAGATTAGAGATGGAAGATTGAACTACCATATACGAGTGAATTCACATTTCACATTTCACAGTCATCGATATGATATCGTGCCCAAAACTGGAATTGAGTTCGAGAGTAGGTGTCATATTATGACTTGTAACGAGTCCGCAAGGACTGCCATATGTAGTCTACAGTTTGTAGTCATTCGTGATAATATCTTTCAAGATGGGGTCATGTTCAAAGATGAGTGAATGTTGAAGTTGAATGTATACATGGACATTATTCTGCGCCCTAGGACTTTGGAGATATCAAGCAATGATTGACTTGCATCCGAATCCGAACGACGGGTATCAAAAGTATTTACATATTCGACTTGTATATATACACACACAAATATCATTCTCACTCCAAGATCCACGAAGATGTTGGGAAACGCTCAGTTTAAATTTGAACAACAAGAACCGTATCAGAAGTCAACAAGAAAAGAAAAGCCAATCAATTATCTTAAATCAATGGATGTTCACTGACTGGCAATGGACTCCCATACTAACCAAATACATCTCGAGCTCAGAAGTCCACTAAAACTTTGACACCTTACTATCCACAATGAACATGAAGATAACTTTACACCTCCAAAGTACCAATTTAGAAATCTTCCTAAATTCACCTACCTATTATATACCAAAATCGTTTTCAAATCTTAATTATCCTCGACCCTCATACCCCAAAAGTCAGAACATTCATAATGCAACACAGGTACTCACCGGGAGAATCACCCCACCAATATCGTACCCAACTCCACCCCTCAACAAACCAAAACCACCTTATCCAAAATAGGGCACTTGCCCTCACCCCTCACCCGCCCCTCTCTCTCCCATTTATTTCTCTTCTAAGAGACCTACGATTCTACCCGATCTAATGCAATCCACAATCAAGCCGTTCTCAACCGTCAACAACCCCGCCCGAAACCCCTCTTCAGACTTCTCTGTATTCCAAGTGCGAAGATTCGAAGGTTCCCCACCACACCGTAGTAATCTTGCCAACTCACTCAATTCCCTCATATCTGTTCTTTGATTTGGCTGTATATGTACCCAACAGAGATTGTAGGATCACGGGATGAGGGCTCATACCCTTAATTATGCAAGTAAGTGGATATTTTAAACATTCAAGTTTGTGTTCTTTTTGTTTACTGTCTGATTTTTTTGGTAACTGAATAAAGAAAGAAATCTAGGATTTGATGAAACAGATATAAGTGCAGTTACAGGATTGTAAAATTTGAATGGTGGAACCATATTTTTGGCGGATGACAAATGAGATTGATGATGAAAAGTGAAGATTGAGTAGTGGAGCTCTTGGTGTAGTGTAGTATCGAGTTATCAGTTATCTATTTATCGAGACAAGACAAAACTCAATTGCGGCGGGGTAGATGGATGATGAATAGATAAAGATAGATATCTTTCTACGAGTACCTAGGTACACTTTTTATATTTCTAATACAGTATCTAACAACAATAGTAGCATATTAAAAACTTCACTCCCAAACACCAATTTTAATCACATCACATGCCAATCCAACACAATCTTCACACTCCTCTGAATGATTACTATATGGTCCAAGCGTCCAGACGCGGAAACGGAAAGGTTCTGGAAAAGCGATCGGATCGAATACAGTAACTGGTAATAATGGAGTTACAAGTACTATAATTGATTTGATATCAGGTTTATGTTACGGGATGATTTTCGTGTATGGATGGTTATATGCGGAGAAGGGGACGGGAGATATGGGTTACCTATTTTTGTAATAAGTGATGAGTGAGGGATAAGAGTTGACGGGGGGAGGATGGATGGGGGATCATGATGGGGCTTTTAGAGAGAAGGTGGCGATGTACTCGAGGCGTTCTTGATAGATACTAACTAGCCTGAGATCAGTATAGAATGAAATGAAATACTAAAACAAAATAATAAAAGTCAAAAGTCAATTAATTCTTCAAACCTCTATTATTTCATTGATTAATTAATTAATTAATTATAATAATAGATT